GTGTTATAACAAAGCCAACTACACCAAAATGCGAAGACTTCTGTCTGAAGCAAACTGGCCTAAAAAATGGACAGAGCTAACAGTAGAAGAACACTGGAGAGTGGTAAAGGAGATCATTCACCAGGCGGTCTCAGACACTGTTCCTTTAGTCTCACCAAAAGCTAGGAAGCAACGATCATGGCTGAAAAGGGGACACAACGCCTTCTGCAGGCAAAGCGAAAAGCCTGGTTCGCGTGGCGACGATCGAAGAGTCAACCCGAATATGAAGTGTACCTTGAACTCAGGAATCGATGTAACATACGAGTCCGGAGCGATAGAAGGACATTTCAGGGAGACCTCGCCAATAAGCTTCTCGTGAACCCCAAAAGCCTATACAGGTTTATGGCCGAAAGAAAACCGACCAACCAGGGAGCATGCAATCTAGTGGGTTCTGATGGGAAATCTCTTACTAGTCTTGAAATGGCAGAGACATTCAGCCTAGCCTTTCACAGGCAACTAAATAGTAACGAGGATATTACCCCTACAGAACATCCAGATTACATCGCAAAACCAACACACGAAAACCTGCTGGGTACATTTCAAATTACCCCGGCTATGGTACTTGCAAAATTGGGAAGGTTGGCTTCGGGAAAGTCTCCAGGTTGTGATGGCATCAGACCATCTGTCCTGAAGCAGTGTTCAGAAAGTCTCTGTCAACCCCTAAGTGATCTGTTCCAACACTCCCTTGATGTAGGGAAACTTCCATGTGAATGGAAACGTGCAATCCTATCCCCTATCTTCAAGGGTGGTGACCGGCAGAATGTGACCAGTTACAGACCAGTTGCTCTACTTCCAGTGGTATCGAAGATATTGGAAAGTCTCATTGACGACCACATGAGAAAATACTTCGATGGGACTAACCTTCTTCACGAAGCACAGCACGGTTTCAGGAGGGGAAGATCCTGCGTGACGAATCTTCTACTAGCCTGGAACGATTGGACACTATCCTGGGACAAAAAGGTACCAGCCCACGTGATCTTTCTCGACTTTGCGAAAGCATTCGACACAGTTCACCATGGTCTGCTCCTTCACAAAATAGGCAAGGCGGGAGTTTCTGGAGCACTTCTCGCATGGCTGAAAGATTACTTAGGCGAGAGAGAATTCTGCACCAAAGTCAACCGCATCCGATCATCCTGGCACACCTCGGCATCAGGGGTTCCTCAGGGTTCTATCCTAGGGCCGTTGATGTTTTTGATTTTTATCAATGACCTGCCCCCCCAACTAAACTGCTCTGCGCTTCTTTACGCTGACGACGTAAAGATTTGGAGAGCAATAAACTCATCGGAAGACTCAGATAGATTGCAGGCTGACCTGCAAACTCTGGGAAATTGGGCTTTGGCTAACGGAATGCCTTTCAATCTAAAGAAGTGCAAAGTAGTGCAGCTTCATTCCGGCAGGTCACAGAGTGTAAATTACACCCTTGGTGGCCAGAACTTGAGTTGTGTTCCATCAGAGCGTGATCTAGGTCTTATTCTAACAGAAAAGCTAGACACCAGTGGAAATTACTCGAGGGACGTCGCCAAAGCCTACGCAACATTACACTTTATGCACAGGCAGCTGGGAGCTCTCACTCCCGAACTGTTCTTAAGGCTATACAAGGCATATGTGAGGCCACACCTTGAGGTGCATAATATCATTGCACCTCCGCTACTCAAAAGGGATGCTAACATTCTAGAAAGTGTCCAGAGACGAGCGACAAAATGGGTGATCGGCCTCCGCAACAAATCATATGAGGAAAGACTAAAGAAATTAGGTCTTTTCACACTTAGTTACCGTAGGCACAGGGGAGACCTCATCACCGTCTACAAGATCCTAAATGACCAGGCCCACCCAAATAAAAGCATCCTGCCATTAAGCGATTATAGGCTTCCACGAGGTAACCCGCTAAGGATAGCACACCAGAGACCAAAGACTCGAGTGCGATCACATTTCTTTTCGCTTCGTGTTTGCCGTCTCTGGAACGCTTTACCGGCGGCCGTGACTACAGCGCCATCTGTGGAGATTTTTAAGCGGAAGCTAGACAATCATGCAGAAATGCAAGGTTTGTGTCTCAATGGCTTATCCTCATAAAATTTGAAACCACACTGTCAATGAATAAGCGTACAAACTAAATCCCCACGACCTATTCTGCCTTCTCTCACTCTATCTTTTCCTTAGGTCACCTTTATTATTCCACTTATCTCAACCTATATTATCTACACTACAACCTATTATTATTATTATTATTACTATTCTGCTTTTATGACTACACCGAATGACCAACGGGAGTTAGGTCAAACTCCATTCACGGCAGCAATACAGTCCTAACATACTGCATACTACAAACCACATCTCGACCAATCCCCGCACCACTCCTCCTGGAGTCTACCAGAGCTAAAGCAGTCGAGTGTCGGGACTTACTACGCAGAAGCTCACCGAAGATCTGGAACCTCTACCTCACAATCAAGAAGCGAGCTCAAAGAAATCACTGGTTTATACTAGCTCGTAATCTGGATATTGGATTCCACACCGTATTTTGGTACAACTATGACCGACCACTGATATCAGGTGTGCGTCGGCCGGGGATCGAACCCCAGATCACATACATAGTTGGCAAATGTTCTAACCACTGTGGCACCGACTATGTGAAAAGAATATACGATGTGATATTGTACTACATGCTGAAAATCCCACACTGCATCGAATGCACCACTTCAAATAAAGCCATTATTGTTATCATCATTATATCTACACGAGTTTTACCACGGATTGATATCAGTTAGAGAACCATTGAAAACCAGGAAGTACTGGAGAGCCAGCTGTCTCGTCAGCCTAGTTTGGGAATCACCGGCAGTACTCACCCACTGAGGTTCGAACCTAGGACCTTCCGATTACAAGGCAAGCTCGTATACCATTCAGCCACTAGCACCCAATTCAATGGTCAGCCCATGAATTCTAACTTCTACCAATTCGTGATACATTTAGCGCAACCAACAAGCAACGTCATCGGTGGGACATCCATCATCACACACTTGACTGGATGGACCTAACTGGTCATGATTTTTCACTAGGACTACAGGAAACTTCGTCCTGTAGCAAGTCACTTGAGAGCATCAAACTCGTGTGAACAAATCTAATCCTTGCAAACCAACTGCTGGAAATTAACCTGATGCTCGGAGTTTCCTGGAGTTCTAATGAGAAATCATGACCAGTGAGATACACCAGTCACGTGTGAGGATGGATGTCCCGGCGATGACAGTGGTTAGAGGTCATTCTAAAATATCACGAATTGGTAGAAGTTAGATTTCACGGGCTGGTCACTGAATCGGGTCCCAGTGGCTGAATGGTATACAAGCTTGCCTTGTAAGCGAAAGGATAGAAGATCTGTCCAGTATTCTCTGGTTTTTAATGGTTCTCTCTCTCTAGTTCATATACATATCTGTTAAACTATATCTCAATACATATATTCAAATATTAATTATCCATTCAATGAATGCTTCTGATTTTCCTTCATTTATTACGATTATTATCATCAAAACACCAGTCATCAATCAATACGAGTACTGTACAACAATCATCTAAGATTTAAACTAATATAAAAGTATTAATAATAATAATGACACTACTAACTTACTACAAAACCATATGCAAACAGCCATTTTTATTATTATTTTTTAAGTAATACATTGTTGTTAATTTTCCCCGCTTAAACAAGAATTTTATATTCACATGCTTATTGAACAATGTTATCCATGTAAATACCCTGTCTAATAATTCCTCTCTATTAATATTTCTGATTATATAGCTTCATTCCACACCATATTTTTGTACAACTATGGAATTTTCAGAATGCGATATCGGTAGCCCAGACTTAGAAGGCCGACCATTGATATCAGGTGTGCGTCAGTCGGGGATCGAATTCCCGACCATGTGCATAATCGGCAAACGTCCTAACCGCTGTGGCACCGACTATGTGAAGAGAATATCAGATGCGATATTGTACTACATCCTGAAAATCCCACACTGCATGGAAAGTACTATTGCAAATAAAGCCATCAATATTACTACCATTAAGTGGATACCAGTCGTAGGCATTATTGGTTGACAGCAAGGCTATATATATATATATATATATATATATATATATATATATATATATATATCACATGAATTGCCAGAGTAAGTGTTGGTTTGCAGGGATTTGATTGGTTACATGTTTGACATCAGCTAGAGAACCGTTTGAAAACCACCAAGGAGTAACAGACAGCTGTTTCTTCCTAATCTAGGAATCTTTATCAGTACGCACCCACGAACCCAGGACCCTGCGGTCACAAGGCCACCTCGCAGACGATTCAGTCACTTGGACCCCAGTCATAACATTCCAAATGGTGAAAACGAGTTTGTTCTCGTAACCTAAAGCTCCTAGGTTCAATCCCTAGTGAATGATGCCACTGGGTGTGCACAGCGTTGTAGACTCACAAACTAGGTGGACATAGCGGCTGGCTGTTCAGTGCTCCCTAGTGGTTTTAATGATCCCTCTAAGTGATTTTGGATCTTGACGATATCTAATCTCATATACGTATCTAATAAACTATATCTGAATATATATCCATATAATATGTGTGTTTGTCTGACAGTCTGATATATTTTGCTATGTATATATGGATCGATATTCCATTATAACTAGCCAATCATGTTAAGACTGTCTATTGATGTGTTCATTTTGAATATTCACTCACACACTTGTTCGGACATTCATATATTTTTGCTCTCACACTCTTGTGTGACATTTTTGATTCTCCTGGTGTTTTGGAAAATAGAAGTATCATCGCAAACCTAGTGGTCTTCTGATTTCCGTCTTTCTTGCGTCAGGACTATTAAATTCTCGACCAGTACATAACAATATATTCAAGCAGTAATTATCCCATTCAATGAACACTGCTCATTTTCCCCCATTTATTACTATTATTATTATCAAAACACCAGTCATCGATCAATACATGTAATGTACAACAATCATCTAAGATTTAACCTAATATAAAAGTATTAATAATAATAATAATGATAGTAATATTGACAGTAGTATATCACAAAATGATTGAATCAATAAATCAATATATGAATATCCCTCAGTAATAAGTTGGTTGTATATCCTTCAGTGATTTTCTTTCTTTCTCCTGTTGAGTTTTACTCTGTAGACTGATATCATTTTTCCATTTTCTAAGTTCAATTTCATCTAACCAACTACGTAATTTTTCTTTTAATTCTAAAACAACATGAAGAGGAGAGAAAAAAAGAGAAAAATGACAAGTCAATTGTGTTGTTCACTAGGTAGTAGTGTTACGTTCTTTTGGGGAGGGTGAGGTGTGGGATTTGTGCCAACTTACGTCACTACTGACGTGGACATGATAACCAGTTAGCTATCCCATCAAAGGACGTATGTAGTGTACAACAGCAGTTTACTCTATACTCCTTTTATCGTCGCTGTGAGACATGGCCATTGTGAAATTGTAAGAAGATATGAAAAGGTTAGCTATCTGTGTTTGATCATAGGTGTCTGCGATCTATCTCCATTGTTAGATGGTATAATATAATGAGCAGTATTGAGGTTAGAGAGTGGAGTGTTGGATAGGGAGATAAAGTGGATCGATGGGTGCAATGATGCGAAATCACTTGAGATGGGGTTACAATATTTGATACGTATGCCTATCCTAGCCATCACCTTCCTCGATTGAAAATGTTACCTGACTGACATAGGGTGGATCATGTTGGAAAAGAATTACTGGTGGACAAACAAAAAACATACTTCCATCAGTCAGTTAAATCCATGACAGTTAGTTTAAGCCAGACAGACAGACAGCCATGTAGGCAGGTGTAGACTTCTTGGTTATCGTCTTTGGGATGGTGAGAATTGATGGATGGAGATAATTAGTGATATGAGTGATAATCATTTTCAATAGAGTAGATGTATTCACTCACAAACAGGTGAGTGAACTCATAGCAAGACCATTTATCTGTCTATAAATAAATTCCATTTAAATGCAAAATAATTACTTTCCAGGCAGAGTTTTCGACTTTTAATTATTTCACTGGTGTCCAGTGAACAGCTTTGCGGTAAAGTTGTCTCTGATTCTAGTAATCTCAAGATGTTTTCTGACCTGTTCCTCATTGATTGATTATTTGATGCTGTTGAGTTGAAATGACCGATGGTCTTCTCTGTTGACATGTCACGGGCCTAATATGAACGCTTCCACCTTGTATCTGAGGAGGATCAATGTGAAGTTATTTTATTTTTGGTTGATTGTGAGTAGCAAAGATGAAAACCGCGCCACATACATAAATATCATTTATTTTGAAACACTCATACACCTGGATTCCAAGTATGAGGGGTAATAATGCTGTCCCCAAATAACTCTTCAACTTTATACCCGTCGCTAGCTGGGCTCTTACAGTCTAGCGGATAATCCGTTGGTCTTTGTAACGGTGGATGCAGGGCTCGAGTCTCTATGTGTTTGTGTGTGGAGGTGGTTGTAGGAGGAGGAGGAGGAGGAGGGAACACCATCATCACTTACGGGTACATCCAAAAGAATGCAAATATCTATGATCAAAGACATCTAGTCTTTTCATATCTTCTAATTTTAATAGCAATGTCTGACAAAAACAGCCATAACGAAAAACGAAACGGAGTACTTCACGTTACATACTGGAACTGGGAAACCAGTTCCTATCGTCCCAAATAGTAAAATATCCGTACTAGAAGTTGTGACATATCAACCAGCAGGTACTGAAGATTTCGGTCTAATATCATCAATCAACAGAAAATACAGAATCAATTTAAACTAATAATAGGAGTCATTTTTTATTTGATTGTGTTCATCACCTGAGCTGGTTGATTGTATTGCAGAGCTTTCATTGCCTTTCTAGACGACATCTTCAGAGCGAACTTCGATACGAATTATGTACTTGTCACTCCTGACAATATTTGTTGGGGGTGATTGGTTGTTAATTTACATCTTCACATTGATCATTTTTATTGACTTGGAATTCTGAACTTTTTTGTCTTGAGATTTATTTTTTTTGGTTTCAAGATTTCCTCATGAGTTGTAACATCGGTTAGAGAACCATTGGAAAACCTGATCGGATATAAGGATAAATACTCGCCACGGGTGAAATTGGCTTGGTGGTTGCTCTGTGTTGTGAATCAGCAGATGGTGCAATTCATGCACTGTCCATTGGATCGGGTCCTAGTGGCTGAATGGTTTACGAATTCATCTTGTAACCGGGAGGTTTGGCTCTAATTTAGAACCCCTTGTGTTGGGTGTGCACTGATGAAGAGTCCTAAATTAGGCTGACGAAACAGCTGTCCAGTACTCCTTTGATGGTTTTCCAATAGTTCTCTAACCGATTTTATAGCTCATGATGAAATCCTGAAACCAAATACTAAATCACATGACAAGAAAGTTCAGAATTCCAAGTCAATAAAAATGATCAATGTGAAGATGTAAATTAACAACCAATCACCCCCAACAAATATTGTCAGGAGTGACAAGTACATAATTCGTATCGAAGTTCGCTCTGAAGATGTCGTCTAGAAAGGCAATGAAAGCTCTGCAATACAATCAACCAGCTCAGGTGATGAACACAATCAAATAAAAAATGACTCCTATTATTAGTTTAAATTGATTCTGTATTTTCTGTTGATTGATGATATTAGACCGAAATCTTCAGTACCTGCTGGCTGATATGTCACAACTTCTAGTACGGATATTTTACTATTTGGGACGATAGGAACTGGTTTCCCAGTTCCAGTATGTAACGTGAAGTACTCCGTTTCGTTTTTCGTTATGGCTGTTTTTGTCAGACATTGCTATTAAAATTAGAAGATATGAAAAGACTAGATGTCTTTGATCATAGATATTTGCGTTCTTTTGGATGTACCTGTATTCCCAGTAGGTGGTGATGGTGTTCCTTTCCCGCCCCCAAAAACCACCACACACACACACAGAGAGAGGGACTTTAACCCTGCATTCACCATTACAAACGCCAACGGATTATCCACTAGACTGCTAGAGCCCAGCTAGCGATGGATATAAGGTTGAAGAGTCAATTGGGGACAGCATTATTACCAATCACACTTGGAATCCAGGTGTACGAGTGTCTCAAAATGAACGATATATGTGTGTGTGTGTGTCGCGGCATCCATCATCATCGCTAGTCACAGTCAACCAAAAAGCAATAACTTCGCACTAACTCTCCTCAAACACAAGATGGAAGTGTTCATATTAGGCCCGTGACATGTCAACAGAGAAGACCATCGATCATTTCAGTCCAACACAATCAGTCAACCAATCAATCATTGAGAAAATGAAATGCTAACGTTGCAAAGCATAAAAGACAAGTACTAAAACGTATTATCAATGATGAAGAGACTGGAAGACATTTTGAGTTTACTGGAATCAGATACAACCCTATTGCAAAGATGTCCAACGGACACCAGTGAAATAATTAAGAGCTTGACATTCTGTGTCTAGAAAGTAATTATTTTACATTCAAAGGGAATTTATATATATAGACAGAAAAATAGTGTTGCTATGAGTTCACCAGTTTCGTAAATAGTCGCTGGATGTTTTTAATGAACAGATTTGAAAATAACATCTTTCCAAGTATACTCACGCCTAAAGTATGGATGGCTACGTGGATGATACGCTGATGATACTTTTATTGTGCTAAAAACGAGATCTACACACAGTTCATTCTTAGAGAAACTGAACAATCTATCTCGCAGAATCCAGTTTACTTCGAAGGCAGGCAGAATCAGACGTCGGTGAACTATCATTTCTAGACTGTCTAGTTACGAGGAGGAGGAGGGAAAACGGACATTTTAGTTTGTCTACATTCAGTAAGAAAACCTACTCCAACAAATAATTAGACTTCACATCATCACACCCCAATCAGCCCAAAGGTATCAATTGTTTCAAGTCTTCTTAGACGAGCACACTCTTTGATGATAACGGATGAGAAGGAAAAAGAAGAAGAAGAAGAAGAAATATCAAACAGTACTACTAAGACTCTCAAACAAAACAACTACCCAAGGAACTTCATCAACAAAATCAACAGTGACGTTATATATGGTCGAAAACGTATTCCGAAGACATTGGCCTAAAGGATTGTCATTCCATATAGATTAGAAACGTTAGATGATACCAGAGGAATACTCAATAAGCACGAAATCAGAGTTTTCTTCAAAACATCAGACACTGACACTGCAAAGTGACCATGTCCATATAAGAATTCTCTATCTGATTTTTTTCTACAAAATACAACGCTAAGAATGTGATGCGATATACTTCATCTGAAAAACATCGCCGGAGAGAAGTCGAAATCAGAAGAAATGAACACCGTAGAGTATCTGTTCGATCAACCACTGAGAAAAATCCTCAGCCAGCCCCATGACTCTAAACGCTGTAGAATCAAGCCACAAAAGAGGTATCGATAGTATTGAAATAATCCAGAAAAAAAGCATTTCAGAAGTCACAAAGGACATCTCACATCATCAGAAGCACTTCATGTCATCAAATGGGATCCAAATAGTCTGAATACGAATGATGGACTAAAACAGAATTTGACCTGGTTACAACACCTCCCCCGCCCCTCCCTTCCATCATGAAATGACAAAATCAACACGAATGAGATAAGTAATTTCACTGTGTAAACATATACTGCTTTTGTATAATTTTATACACTTATCAAAACCAACAATCTACACTTGGTTTTGTTATCTTTACCGGTTGACCAACTTCACAACAACATAAAAATTACCCCATGTTGATAAACGATGATTAAGCTGTTATATGGGCTACTTCGAACAGACACAACTGAGTTCTGGTATCAATAGAACAACCTACTATCCCCGATATGTTGATGACACATTTGTTGTTTGCAACAACATGGATCACGCATCGGTATTATATGATCGCCTAAATGAGACCCATCCAAATACCAAATTCACCATGGAATATGCACATAATAATGAGTTTAGTTTCCTGGATCTAAATGTAGAAAGAACAAACGAAGGCACGATCGAAAAGAAACCTGGACTGGACAACACCATCACTACAACAGTTCCTGTCCTATAAGCTATAAGCGGGGATTAGTAAGGAAGCAACTGTATGACAGAGCCAGGAAGCTATGTTCACCGAACAAGGTCGAAGAAGAATTATTATTATTATTATTATTATTGTATCCTTTAGTTCCTAGAGGAACATAGGGCTTCAGCTGCGCACCTCCATTGACTTCGGTTTTCTGACAACTTTTTCACCCTGCTCCAGGTCTGCCCACATGCTTTCATCTCCTCTTCACATGACCTCCTCCAAGTCACCCTTGGACGACCAACTCGCCGCCTCCCTTTCGGGTTCCACTCGAGGGCTTGTCTAGTGATGTCACTTGATGGTTTCCTCAGCGTATGGCCAATCCATCTCCATTTCTTTCTGCCTATTTGTTTCACAATCGGTTCCTGATTGGTTCGCTCCCAGAGATCCCTGTTGCTGATCTTTTCTGGCCATCTGATCTTGAGTATTGAGCGGAGACAGTTGTTAATGAAGGTTTGAAGTTTGTTTGAGATGCTCTTTATGACTCGCCAAGTCTCTGATCCGTATAGTAGCACTGACTTCACATTGGAGTTGAAAATCCGGATCTTATTTTTGATGCTGAGTGCTGTTGACCTCCACACAGATTTGAGAGTAATGAAAGCTTGTCTTGCTTTTCCGATTCTGGCTTTGATGTCCTCGTCAGTTCCGCCTGTAGTTGAGACGATGCTTCCCAGGTAGGTGAAGGAGGTTGTTTCTTTCAGGTTCTTCCCATTTATGCTTATTGTGGTCTGTTGTTGCTGTTGATGTTGGCAAGGAATCTTCATCATCTCTGTTTTATCTATGTTCACGTGAAGTCCTATCTTTGATGCTTCTTCTGCCAACTTGTTACTTTTCATTTGCATATCTTCCAGTTTATGGGAAATCAGACATATATCATCGGCGAAATCCAGATCCTCCAAGTCTTTTGTGTCAGTCCATTTTATGCCTGTTCCCTCGTTGGTTGCCGTTGTCTGTCGCATTATCCAATCAATTGCAATCAGGAAGATCATTGGTGATAGTAGACAGCCTTGCCTCACTCCCGTCCTCACTTCGAAGGCTTCCGTAAGTTTCCCGTTGTGGATTACTTGGCATGCAGCATTGTCGTATAACTGTTGGATGAGGTGTATAATTGTCGATGGGACCCCGTAGTAGCGAAGTAGTTTCCAAATGACCTCTCGATCGACGCTGTCGAAGGCCTTTTCAAAGTCGATGAAGTTGAGATAGAGAGGTGACTGCCATTCCAAGCTTTGTTCAATGATGATCCGTAGAGTGGCGATTTGATCAATACATGATTTGTTTCTCCTGAATCCAGCCTGTTCCGGACGAAGTTTTTCATCTAGGGCTTGTTTGATTCTCTCCAGGATGATGCGACTTAGTATCTTGCTTGGAATGGACAGAAGCATAATTCCCCGCCAGTTTTTACATTGACTTAAGTCTCCTTTCTTTGGAAGTTTGAATAAGTAACTGTTCTTCCAATCCTCGGGTACTTTGCCCTCTTTCCACACCTTCTCCAGTAGTGGTGTCATCAAGTCCGCTGTTGTCTCTGGGTCTATTTTCAAAGCCTCTGCTGGGATTCCATCTGGTCCCGGTGTTTTCCCAGTTTTAAGCATCTTGATTGCATTCAGGACTTCTGATTTCGTCGGGGGGTCAGTGTTCACTGGTAGTTCTGCTTCCGTTGTTGGTATTGCTGGACGTGTTGTAGGTGGCGGACGATTTAGAAGTCTTTTGAAGTGTTCAACCCAGTGCTTTCTCTGTTCCACCTCTTTGGTGATTGACTTTCCATTGTCGTCCTTTATTGGCTTAATCTGTGTCGAACGTTTGCCCGATAGGTGCCTAGTTGTTTGGTAGAGTGTGGCGAGGTCTCCTTTGCCTGCAGCTTGTTCTGCTTCGTTTGCCATGGTTTCATAATATTTTCTTTTGTCTTCCCTGGCACTTTTCTTCACTCTTTTGTTCAGTGTATTGTAGCTTGCATTCAGCTCCTGTTTTTGTTGCTCGTCCGTGCACTGGATAATCTTTTGCTTCACTGTCCTTCTCTCTTCTATTAGTTTCCAAGTGTCCGTAGTGAGCCACTGTTTGTCCTGTCTCTTTTTTCTGCCTAGAATTTCTATGCAGGTTTGGCTCCACACCGTTTTCAAGTTGTTCCAGTGCTTTTCAACGCCGACCTCTTCGCTAGTGTTGATTTGTGTCTCGACTTTGTCCTTTATGCTTGCAATGAAGATGTCCTTTGTAGCCTGGTCCTTCAGCTTTTGAGTGTTGAACTTGGCTTGTGGTCTATCTGCAGCTCCTGATTCCCTGAAAGCTTTTAATTTGATTTGGATTGTCCCTTGTACGAGATAGTGGTCTGAGCCAACGTCTGCTCCTCTTCTTGCTTTTGTGTCCAGTAGGCTGCGCCTCCACTTCCTTGAGATTGAGATGAAGTCGATTTGGTTTTTGGTTTGCCCGTCTGGTGACACCCATGTAGCCTTGTGGATATCTTTGTGCTTGTATACACTGCCACCAATCACCAGTTCGTTGAAGGCGCAGAAGTCGGCGAAGAGTTCTCCGTTTTCATTCATTTCTCCTAGAGCTTCTCTACCCATGATGAGTTCCCTTCCCGTATTGTCTGGTCCCAGTTTGGCGTTCATGTCTCCCATTAGTATTTTCATGTCGCCAGCTGGAGTATTGTCCATTGTTGCCTGTAGTTGCCTGTAGAATTCTTCTTTCTTCTCGAGGTCTGCGTTGTTTGTGGGTGCATAACATTGTATGATTGACACTTTCCTTCCTTTGGAGTTGAACCTGGCGGTCATTATCCTGGACGAAATCGCCTCCCATTGTATCAGGGCTTTCGTTGCCGTTGGTGACATCATGATAGCCACGCCCTCGGTGTGCGTGTGGTTATCTTCTGGGTGACCGGAGTAGATCACTGACTCACCTGTTGACAATTTGGTGAGTCCACTCCCATTCCATCTGCTCTCACATATTCCCAGCACTTGTATTCCGTATCTTTTCATCTCGTTGGCGATCTGGGCAGCTTTTCCAGTCTCGTACATAGTTCGAACGTTCCATGTTCCTACACAGACTTTTTCTTTTGGTGCAAGGAGGTAGATTAGATGAATACCCAAAGACATTTATTCAAAAGTATAACAGAGAAAAAGATAAGAAAGAAAAACACCCAATTGTAGAAAAGAAGAAAGTGTTTATTTGTCTCCCATTCAAGGAAGATGCAGTGTCACAAAAGAATGAAAGGTGCAATAAAAAGAAGCTTCCCTGCAGCTAAATTCATAACATTAAACAGCACCACGCCTTCTATAAGCCAACCAAAACTAGATAAATACCCTGCTGATGTCGCCTCCAACTGCGTTTATGAATTTACGTGCAATTGCGGGAGCAAGTACATTGGAAGGACAGAAAGAAGGGCTTCTATCCGGTTTTCTGAACATACTCCAAGAAACCTGTGTCTGAAAGGAAGCAAATATTCTCAGAGTGAAATTACCAGACATACCGTTGATACTGGTCATCTCGTAGAGATTTCTAAGTCCTTCGAAATATTAAATAGACAAAGGACAGCTAATTCACTACAATTTGCCGAAGCAATCGCAATCAAACGTTTCACACCAACCAGAGTTATGCATACGTAAAAAGAGTGTGGTGATTTATCTCTCACTCCATTCGTAACTGAATTTTGATTTTGATTACATTAATTAGTCATCTAATTCAATGATCTCAACTCACTGAACAAATCTCAATCTTATAAACTGTAACCACTTTTGTTTTTTGGAGTTGCTATGTGAACCTACAAGCTAACACTGTTCTGTCTTACCCCTCCCCCCTCTTTTCAACTTTGAAAGCGTATAAATTGATGATGAAATCATAAACTAAAAACTGCGTCAGTTTTATATTATTTCTTCTCTACTACCACTTAAACATTAAAGCATGTTATTATCATCTATATATAACCATTGTAATTTCAGGTAGTCAATGACAGCTGATGAGAACCTATGAAATAGAATGATATCATTATATATACTGCAAATTTCGTCTTCCTTTCTTTATCGAAATTTATCAAGGGAACCAAATGTATGAAATGTTATATATAAGCTGAGTGGATTTTGTAAATTCTGGTTGAATAATACCACTTTGATAAAGCTATCAGAAGCAGCATTTGAAATAGCGAAACGTCAGTGAAAATAGCAATATCGTTTTGTTTTTCATTCATTGGGGAAATACAAAAAGAACTTTTATAATAATGAAGGTCAGAAAATACTTGATTAAGAGACAATGTAAATATTATTATTATTATTATTATTACTTATTAGCATGATTAACTTACCCGGAATATTTGTATGACGTAAAGCGGACACTAATTCAATTGAATGAAATTTCGGTGTGATACTTGGCAACAGCTGAGGTGGTAACTGGGAATACTTTTTCGCCTCTGGGGAATCCATACATTCAAGGTAATGTTTAGTCTCTAAGGCTTCATCCATTGCACCTGGATTATCAATCTGGATGTGGGAAAATCAATGAGGGATAGAAAAATATTAAAAAAAACAGCATGAAATAAGGAGATGGGGGTGGGGCTTCAACAATTTAACTGGCATGAATGAAGACATAAGTTGCGGTAAAACAAACAAACTCGTCACACTTTCGTCTCAATGAGTGACTTGTTTCATCATAGAGAAGTTTGCAGAGATGTACACCAGTTCGAGTTGCTAAACTCCCTCTATGTAGCACATACAAAGCAAGAGAAGACATCCTCATTTCTGTGTGTGTGTGTGTGCGTGTATGTCGACATAATTATCTCATAAAAATGTTTTCCCATATTACTTGTATCATTACATGAACATGTAACGAGAGAAGACAACGGCCAGGCAACAGATCGTTTATTGAGAAAAACAGGAGGTATTTGTAGATTTTTATGTACATTATTGCAGTGGAGAAGCAACGTCTTCTGATTGGTTGTTTTCTAACCGAAGGTTATTCTGCAGTGTTTGTGACTGTTTTTCAGAAAGTTAAGCCATATATCTGCGAATCGTATTTGCACGCGTTAAGTCTGCTGTGATTGGTCGGTGAACTCCTCAAGGTTAAGCTTAGATTCTGTTGTTTTTTTCTCATGACCCCCATTCGAGAAGTAAACATTGACGTAAATTGGTGTCTACCAATTTTGGCTTGAAGACAACTCTCACCACAAACATAGTAATGGATTATACCACTACAGTTAGCATCATTCTTACGGTATGCTATCTCATTACTCCTATTCACCATTCATGCAGTAAGGTTATGAAGATAAAAGCTATCACGAGGTGGTATATTCGTAGAGCAGATACTATTACAGCTGTGTGAAGAAGTTTATATCACACCTTTAATACGGCCGAACGGAACACATCCGATATGATATAATTACAATATACCTCCAAGGATAAAACATAAACTCACACGGACCAAATATTCAATTACAACAGCAACAATCCAATAACACACAAAAGGAATTGTATACAAACACTATTCAGCACTCTTACCTACCTCAAGGGATAAGAAGAAAGATATCTCACGGATGTCTTTCAAAAGAATAGATATTCACAGAATTTCATCAAAAGACATATACTTCCAAGACAACCTATCAAGCCAAAAGCCCCTGAGGAAAGCACAAAGAAAATCGCCCTACCATATATGAAAGACAGCTCAGAAAACACTGAGAGACCCTTCAAACTTTTGGGAGTTGATGTCACACACACACACACACACACAGACCAACAAAATCACCTCACTCAGCCAGCTCTGCGTCAACCAAAAGACTCAACAACGAAAGCAGATGGAACCAACATCATCTACAAAATAAATTGTAACAACTGAGAAAAACACTACATTGTCCAAAGTGGACAGTGTTCCCTTCGTCTTCGTATTCATGAACATAAACTGGCCGTCAAAAGACATGACATCCACTCCCTCACTCATATAGCTGGAATAACGTTCAAATATTATACAGAGGAAACAACAAGAATGCTAGAGAATTTTTAGAAGCCTACCTGTTATTCCAGTGAATCGTCAATCAATAGACACATCGAGATAAGCAGAATTTGTCAACCGATAAGAAAGAAACCTCACTTACAAGGAGTCAAACTTCAAGTCAAGGAAACAATCAGTTCCAATATACAAGTAGACTAGAGTGTATGAAAACACACGAAAACAATCAAAGAATCACGTTCAAGACCACCCCCACCAGGAGAGATGACTAATAGTGAACTCATGGAGAAACCTAAAAGCTCACTTCAACTGAAATTGAAGTATGCGCGCTAAAGATGATGCCTAGTGGTGGGGCAATGAAAGCTTCGCAAATAAGCCAACCATCCAGCTGATGGAACACAACCACATAAAAAAAAGGAACACAAAATTACACAAGGTCACCTTATCTGATATGAATGTTTCTTTTGCTATTCTTCTATGACCCATTGTTAAATTATAACATTTCACACATCATAAACATGATGAATGGTTCAACAATATTATGTAGACAGGGCACTAATCACATCCATGTTAAGAAAGCCGAGAAGGTAATCTAGAAAGATTTCTACCTCAATGGAAAGTTATAGTTGCACATGATGATATGGGATTCTTTTGATCTAAGTTACCTCTATTCTGAAACGATGTTTACTTTTGATTTGGAAGTTACGATGATGACATATATATCGTTAGAATCACAAAGAAGTTCCTGAAAAGCCATCAGCGTCATAGGTTTCAAGCTCAGTGATAAGTATATCAACGTAAAACACAAGCATATACACAGTCGAACTAAATTCGAATTTTGACATTGGATATACGATATTTATGCATCAGTGATTCAGCAGTAGAATGTCCGCCAGCCACCCATGTAATCCAAGGTTCAATTTCCTGTAAATTCTGGTTTAATATTACAACTTTGGTGAAACTGTTAGCAGCGCTAATTAGTGAAACGTTAGTAAAAACACAATAATATATAGTTTTATTTTCACATTCATTCAGAAATACAAATCATAATTTTTATACTGTGAATCACTAAGACTGTCTACTATCACCGACAATATCCCTGACTGTGGTGGACTCGATCATGAATCAGACTGTGGAAAGCCAGAAGACAGAAACACGTTTGACTGACAACAAAAAACACTGGAAAATCTCGACTTCGCAGACGGCTAATATCACAAAAACTCGCTATGCACACATACATACACACATACAACATACGAAAACCAACAAGTCAGGAGAAGCAACAGAGGAAACAGGACTTCATTTGAACGCAGAGAAGACAGAGATGATGAAGATATCTAACCACCAGCACGACCACCACCGACAACAGCAACAACAAGCACCATCAATGGAATAAATTTGAAAAAAAAATTCACCTCTCTCTCACCAACCTGACCTAGGTAACATCGTGTTTGAACTAGAGGCGGCGAAACAGATGATGCCAAAATCACGATCGGAAGGGTGAGACAAACCTCCATTACTCTGAGATCAATGTGAGCCTACGCCAAGATCCATAGCTTCAACACTAGTGTCAAGTTAATCAGTGATGATTTTATATGGTTCAGACACACTTGGTACATCAAGAAAAACATTTCCAACAAGTCACCGGCTTCATACTGAAAATCAGATGACTGGCCAGTCAGAAAGAATCAGCCAGCGACAAGGAACTCTAGAAGCAAACCAATCAATAACCTATCATCCAATAAAAGCTTCTGAAAGAAATGAAGACGGATCGGATACACGCTGAGATCCTTGAATGGGAAGCGATGAGTTGACCAATAGTCCGATGGTGAAATGGAGAAAGAAGGAGATAGAAGTTAATGGGTAATTTTACAGCCAGTTACGAGGGACTGCAGAGAAGAGGATGAAAGCGAGGTGTGCTGTTAAAGAAGCCCTATGTTCCACTTGGAACCTGAAGGAATACTAATACTAATACATATGTAAAACTTGAGCATTGTGGTAGTAAGTAATTCCATATTAGTTTGTTTATTAGATGTATCACACAGTTTGTGAAACAGTATTATTATTTACTGGATGACAAAGTTTCGAACAAAATTCATTATTACTCATAATCACATCATCAGTTATAATCAGACGACTTTGAAACTTGAGTTTTATAGTTTTCTTTGTTCTCTCCTATTTGCAGTCGTTGGGGTAGTAGAATTTTCCAGATATCCGAGTGGACAGGTGTTGAATCATTCCTATTACACGTGTTGGTTTGCAGTTGATTCGACAAACGAAGCTTCCATTATCAATCTCTCCCTCCATCATGTTAGTTATATCCCGTCATCCTATTGTATGTTTGTGTGTAATTGCATGTGGTGAGTGGTATAGATGGACTATTCTTCAGATTTCTTTCTAATTCGGGTCAACTAATCTAGATTTCACTGCTAGGTTTTTATGTTCGGCTCATCTGACTGACTGCCCCTGTTCTACTAGTTTGACCTATGTATTTGACCTGACAATCATTCCAGCAGAGTATTAGATAAACTAAATTGTTTTGTTTTAAAAGCTCCACAGGATCCTTTAACCGAATAAGCTTGTTTCTAATTGATTTTGTCGGTTTGAAGGAACCTCGGAAACCTTATGTGGAATTCTTAACAATGCTGGTAGGAATAAAAGTGTCTGGCATTCACACCATCCACAAACTCAATCAGAAACAAGCTTTGTCGGTTAAATGGTGGATCCTGTGGAGCCTTTAAAACAAAACAATTTAGTTTACCTAATACTAATGATTGTCAGATCAAATACATAGGTCAAACTAGTAGAACAGGGGTAGTCAGTCAGACTAGCCGAGCATAAAAACCTAGCAAAATCTAGATTAGTTGACCCGAATAAGGTAAGAAATCTAGGGAATATTTCAGCTGTAGCACTCACTACATGCAGTTACACACAACCATGCAATAAGATGATGGGATAAGATGACAGTTTTAAAATATAATGTCACAGGGTGGAGGGAGGGAGAGATTGATAACAGAAGCTTTGCTTGTCCAATCAAGTGAGAGAGAATACGTGTAATAGGAATGATTCAACACCTGTCTACCGCTACATCTGGAAACTTCTACTACCCTACCGACGACAAATAGGAGAGAACAAAGAAAACTATAAAAGTCAAGTTTCAAAGTCGTCTGATTATAACTGATGATATGATTGAGTAATAATGAATTTTGTTCGAAACTTTGTCATCCAGTAAATAATACTGTTTCACAGACTGTGTGATACATCTAATTAACAAACTAATATGGAATACTAATACTTAGAACAAATTACGTCTTAGCGTCATATAATTCAAGAAAAAAGGCAGCTTACCTTGTTTAATATACAAGCCATTGGTTTTTCAAGCAGCAAACCATTAGACCATCGTTCCATTTGATTTAATACTAAATAGGCAACAGCTAATGCATTTCTCCGATGACTTAATTGATCTTTACAGAAACCAAGTGAATCTAAGACAAGTAGAATGCATGAACTACGCTCAACATGCTTTAAAAAGTTTGTATGCCGGAGACTAGGCAGAGAAGTCCTCGATGTATTCGATGATTGAGAATTAACTGAGCTATTACCGTCATTATCATTATCACTATCACCATCATTATCATTGACATCGTAACGAGCGTAGATATCAGCAAGACCTTTAGAGAAATAAATAAATAAATAAATATTTTCAAGTATCGATTAATACGGATTTCCCTATAGTCTGGTTTGTAAGGGTTACTTTTGTTTTTACGAGTTGATCACAAATTGATATCAGTTAGAGGACTATTGAAAACCAACCAGAGACTACTAGACAGCTGTTTTATCCTAGTTTGGCATTCATCAGCAGTATGCACCCACTGGGATCCGAACCCAAGAACTTCCGGTTACAAGGCAAGCTCGTATACTGGGTTCGAACCCTGGCAGTGGGTGCGTACTGCCGATGATTCCCAAACTAGGATGAAACAGCTGTCCAGTACTGCCTGGTTTTCAATGGTTCTCTAACATTCAGAAATAATAATAATATTAGTGTTATCAATGAAATACATTCAGATGGGAAATAAGATGTTTTTATAGTAAAATAAATAAATAACTTGTTAGAATGTTATAATGTGAATTGAGTACATTTCAACATTATTTATTATCCTCTGATTTGACAGACTGGTGATAATAATATCTTCAGTATCTCTGGTATTTGCGTGTGTCGGATGTAGACTCAATGAAGAAGGATTCAGTAATCAAACTAGTAGATCAGGAGTAGGGAGATTGCCTGTCAGAACATAAAAATTTAGTTAAGGTTAGAATGATTGATCCCACGAAGATAAATAGTTTAGAAAAAAGCTCAGTAATTGCACAGCATGCATTAATACACAACCACACAATAGGCTGGTAGGAGAGGGTTAAAATTCTAAGAAGTAACCTAGGTAGGCGGAGAGAGAGACTGATTACTGAATCCTGCCTGGTTCATCGAGTCTACACCCACCACAACACATGCAACAGAAATGACTCAATGCAAATACCAGAGAAATGTATGGAAGATATTATCACCAGTCAGTCAAATCAGAGGAGGATAATAAATAATGTTACAATAACCACTACAGTCCTACAGGAGGTCAATCGCAAGCCTGAATAGTTCAGTGGGAACGCCTCTGATTGCAGTACTCAATGGGTGACACGGGTTCGAATCTCAGAAGAAACATGAGTTCCTTCAAGGTTGTAGATACGCCTTGCTGACTGGTGAGTGCCAACTAGCGCGAAACTTAGGTGGTGTCCAAGGCTTCCTGTGGCCGATTGCCTCCAACCATCTAATATCATCAAATCAATGTGCACAGTGATGGTGAGCTACCATAGAATGGTGACCACATTACAACCTGATTGATAGAATTCAGTCTGCACCAAACACCAAGGACTAGACACATCCCACTAGTTACTAGTGTCAAATCAATGTTACAACGTATTTAATTTACATACATTGTAACATTCTAACAAGTTATTTATCATTATGACTATAAAAACACTTTTCTTATTTCCCATCTGATTGTATTTGAATGATAACACTAATATTATTATTTCTGAATGTACTTTATTTTATACTGATTTTATTCAAATTTCTAATTATCAACTTTTACTCATGTATATAAATGAAGCAAGAAAGTTGTGTGAGTAATTACTTTACTTCGGCCATCTCCTACAGGAGGATGAGCCGGCTTCATGAACATCTCGAATCATCGCTGCCCAGGCGCGGCGATCTGACGCAAGGTTTTGCGACAGGGTTATCCAATTCTTATTCCACAGACAGTGTCCGTAAACGGTTTGTAGCCCCAGTCACTCCATATCAGTCTTGACTGAACCAAGCCATGTTTTCAGCTGTCCACCCCTGCGACATCTCCAAGATGGAAATGGCGAGGGATTTAGAACTGATTTGACCAGATCGTCATCTGGTCGCCGCAGAACATGGCCAAACCACCGAAGGCGACGTTGTTGGACCAGTACTGGAATTTGGTTGATGTTGTAGCAACGACGACGCACTTCTTCGTTGGAGAGTTTGTCCTGCCAACGAACATGCAGAATGTACCTGAGGCACCAATGGTCTACTACCTCGAGTCTGCGTAAATCTTCCGCGCGAAGTGGCCAGGTTTCACAGCCATACAGGAGAACGGATCGTATGGAGGCTTGGTAGACCCGAATTTTTAGTCCTGAGAGTGATTTCCCTCTTGCTCCATAGAACGCTCCTCAGATGTAGAAACGCATTCCGGGCGTTGGAGATTCGCGCATTCACTTCGTTTTTCGCTTGACCGTTGGGGAGCATCCTTGATGCCTTGATATGATGACTATGAGCAGTAATAAATTGTGCTGGAAACGTGGTCATCAGTAAACATTACTTACTGTATAACAATACTGTGTGATTTTGACAAAATAAGATTTTATACATAGTGGAGAAACGACTGATAGATATTTTTGGACACGTTAATTTGAAGGACATGTGAAAATTACTGTAAAGCAGATTTCTATTCAACCCACAATGACCATTTTTTTAGAAATCAATAATTTTAACTTTTCAAGGTCATTGTATTTCTGTACTGCTGACACATTGGGCTACACCCTATTGTGTATGATACCCAAACACCTTGATAAGCGAGGTAGGGTTCGAACCTGCGACCTCGTAGTAAGAGATCCACAGACTAGACCGATGAGTCATCGTCACCATCGATTGATTTCACCCAACTGAAATGATCAGTTAATCAAATAACAAGTGATACCTACTGCTCAAGAGTTGATGACGAAAAAATTTCAGCACGGATACAAAATGTTCATATGGGGTAATTGTCAGCATATGACATCGCTGGGATAAATGTGATATCTGTCTATCAACCAAAGAACGTTCCTACCCAACAGCAGTTTGCTCTGTGCCTTCTTCATAGCTATGGGATGTCGTCGACGTTAACATGTAACGAAAGAAGACAACGGCCAGGCAACAGATCGTTCATCGAGAAAATCAAGAGGTATTTGTATATATTTTTTAATGTGCATTATTGTTAGCGGAGAAGCAACCTCTTCTGATTGGTTGTTTTCTTGTTGAAGGTTATTCTGTTATCTCTTTGTGGGTGTTTTTCAGAAAGTCAAGTCATATATATATCTGTGAATCATATTTCCACACTTTAACTCCGTTGTGATTGACTGGTGATTTCTCCAGGGTTAAACTTTGTTGTTGTCTTGCTCATGACCCTGATTCGTGACGTGAACATTAGCGTTAATTGTTGGCTTGCAGCCAGCTCTCACCACAACAAACAGGCTAAATGTCTTTGACCGAAGATGTTGCCATCCTATCCCATGATTTAAGTGGTCTGTCTGTCTGTCTGGATTCAACATAGAACTTGGCACCGAAGTGCAGCAGTTCGAGTTGCCACGTTCCAATTGGCACACAAGGTAGACAAGAAGATGAGTGAAGAGAATCAATAGAGTTTGGCAAATATAAGAGTGAAACAGAATGGGTAATGGTAGAAAGGAATAAGAAAGATTAAAGAGACTGAATACATCTGCGCTAGCCATTGACAACGATTTTGAGCCATGTCACCTATTGTCTCCAGCCATTGATTCCTAGAGTCCCGAGACCCCCAACCCGGAAGTCTGCATCTCCCTACCTGACTCAGTTTAACTGTCAAGGATTTCATGGATTGATGAAGCCATGTTTTTGTTTGGCCACCACTGGCTCTTTTCCAACCTGCACCTATATCAGCTAGTGATGCCCGTCGGGGGAGGCGGTGGTTAGGCATGCGCAGCACGTGACCTAGCCATCTTAGTCTATGTAACTTTATAGCCTCGTTGATTGATTTTCCCTCTTTGCCCAACACTCTACGCCTAACATCAACATTACTTACCTTATTAAACCACCTAACGTGAGACAGAGATCGCAGACATCTATGATCGAAAAAACAGTCAACCTTTTCATGTCTTCAACGCGTATTGGCCATGTTTCAGAGCCATAGAGAAGGACGGAGTGAACTGCTGAGCAGTACACACGTCCCTTGGTTGATAACCGGATGTCACGCCTACGCCAGAGATGGTGTAAGTCAGCGAAAGCAGCTCGAGCTTTTCGGATCCGTGCTGAGATTTCGTCGCCAATCAGTCCGTTGGGGCTGATACAACTTCCCAAATAGGTGAAGTGGTCAACATGTTCTATCACTTCACTCCCTATCACTAAGCTAGGTAGGAGTTGACGGGGTCCAGTCCTGTAGCAGTATCTTACATTTTGTAGGGGCGAATCGCATGCCAAACATACGAAGATTGCTGCTCAAGGTGTTCAGAAGACTCTGCTGGATTTTGTCAGCATCCTCCCCTAACAGGACTATGTCATCTGCATATTCTAAGTCCATAAGACTATTCCCTGGTAACAAGTCGATTCCTAAGTCATTACGTTCAGTTAAGGATACTTCCATTAGCATGTCTATGATGAAGTTAAACAGAAATGGGGAAAGTTGACATCCCTGTCGGACACCACTGGTGATTGTTACCAATTCAGATGACAATTCCCCATAAGCCCTTACACGACTACGTGAGTTTGAATAGAGTGCCTTGATTAGTGCAATGTACTTTCTTGGCACTCCCTTCACAGTCAGACATTGCCATAGTACCTTTCGATCCACGGAGTCGAAGGCCGCCTTCAAGTCAAGAAATATGACAATTGTTGGACGCCGAAAAGTGTGTCTATGTTCTAGAATCTGTCGAAGAGTGAAGATATGATCTATGCACCCTCTACCTGGTCTAAAGCCTGCTTGATTTTCCCTTGTCTGTTCCTCCCGAGTTCTGCTTAGTCTATGCATGATTACTGAGCCTAGGATTTTAGAGACTATGTTCGTTAGGCTGATCCCATGATCCCATGAGTTAAGTGGTGTAAGATGATGAGTAGAATACTGAGCGTTAGATGAAAAGTGTTAAACAAGAACAAGCCGTCAATCGACAAGGCTGTGAAGCGCGGCATCTCAATCGAGATGGCTATAAGACACGTGTTGACGATGCCCAGTGTCATCACCTTCCCCGACGAGTAAAAAGATTTACATAGACAGTCGAATCAGAACCTTTCTCATCAGTTGATGAAGTCTTCGCGACAGTTGATTACAGGCAACCACGCTGGGAGGTGTAAACTGCTTAGTTAGGATCCTTGAGATGTTAAAAAACCCAATGGCTTGAGATTATTAGTGATAGAGCTGGCTGGAAATCGTTCTCAGTCGCACAGATGAATTCACCCTCTGTCTCTTTGTGACCCCCACCTCGTCCCCACCCCATATCCATTTATTACTTAATTTATAATTTTTATTTAAACGCTGAAAAAACTTCGTACAATATGGCACCGAGAAAGATGCGCCACACAATAATAATAAAACAACATAGATCAAAAGTAAAAAAATATAAGAAGAGAACGGATAAAGAACTGCAACTGGAAGGAAAACAGTCATGCTTAACAAGTTCAAACAGTACTCCTTAACTATCATCGGGAAGGGAAGAAAGAAGGAAATTGCAACGCGTTCGCCATTGATTACGATTCTTCCGATAACGTTTCGAGCTATCTCGCGGACCCTAACCAGGGAGTCATGGCGCATCAACATAAGCTAGTCAAGCACAAACATCTTTCATCCCACGACGCCACGTCATGGACTAACCACCCCTCCGCCTTTTCCATCCCATCCCAGAGCTGGCTAGCGGACAGAGACCTGTACGGAAGCCTCTGGGATGACATTCGCAGCACATGTTCAAGCCACCGGAGCCGGTGTTTCCACATGACGACACTCAATGAATGGTGATCTTCACTGTGTTCAAACACACGCCGCTGAACCTCAGAACTACTCATATCCACTAAATCATCAAGTTTGTCTATATTACTATTCTATCTCCCTTAACTTTCTGCTTACTATTATTATAGTTATCATCATTTTTTGAATCTAAGTTTTGGTGTGCTGCACAAAATGGGGCACCTTAAACTACTACTATTCTTTGCACACTTCTTTGTTTAAACTCACTCACTCAGTCAGTCAACCCTATGAGAGTGCAGACTGAGTGAAAAAAGCCACTCTGAACTAAGCTTTAAAAATAAACGAAATATATAATTAACTTGGTTGATGATGACTAGCAGCGGGGGAGGGATGAAGTCCAGGGAACATACATCTCGGTCTATTTGGGACATCTGCATTCTACCCAGTGGGCGGTGATGGATGGTGTTTCCTCACTGGGACTCGAACCTTGCACTCATCGTTTCAAACGCCAAGATATGGCTCTCGTAGCCCTTTTGGTGCTTGAAACAAAGGAGTAGATGGTTTGAGTTAGAGTGGGAGCAGCATTATCACTTACCACCACCAACACCAAGGTGTACATCCACCGATGATTCCCAAAGAGAACAAAATTCGAATCATGGATTTCCCTTGCACACACACCACCAACCAAAATAATTCCATGTTACTCACTCTTCAAGGGATTTGATTGATTACAGACTTGATCAAGGGGGAGAACTACCAGGAAGTACTAAACTGGAGCTTGGAACTTTCACCCCCCCCTAGCCACCACAGGGGTTCGAACCCAAGATCATCCAGTTGCAAGTTGAGCTAGTTGGTCAACTTTTCAGCCACTGGAACACTCAATTCAATGGTTCACATTAATCTTCATCAGACATATCGCGTCAAAGCGTTAGTACTAAGAGTTTCCGACATATCAACAGAGGTTGAACACTTCCGTCTAATCGATCATTAAATAAAATACACAGTTCATAGGTGCGGGAGTAGAGGGGAGGGGAGAAAATAGATTCACTTACCTGGTAAATCGGCTAGACTAATTCGTCGATGGTCTGGATATTTACAAAGTGCCACCTGTGGTTTAATTGTAGTAAATGGATAACTGGCTATTTTAGCTGGTGCCCCGGATAAAGCTTTCAACAGGCTTGATTTACCAGCATTTGGAAAGCCTACAAGACTATAGTCAGCCATCAGCTTAAAATAGAGAATAGGTAGACAAAAAAAATAATAAATATATACAATTAAAATGTTTTTCAAAAGAATGGTTACTGAACAAAGAATATTCACATTTTTGATAACCTGCTCTTCTTCATCAGGTTCTACAGTTATTTATACAGAATAGTCAATGAATTAATAATAATAATCATGATTTACTTTATTCCAAAAACAGTACTTGTGATACAGAATGGAATTTTCAGCATTAATCACAAAATTGCATCTAATTTCCTCAAATTATAAATAAAATTAATCACACTGAAAAATTTTCCACATTTACAATAGAGGTAGTGTCAAAAACATGCAGAATATAAATTGGAAATAATAATAATAATAATGATAACAGCTAGGGTAATAATAATAATACAAGTGAAAAATTGCCGTGGGCTTTTTACACACAGTATTGTCAGTGTGGTATAGAAATCCTAGCTTGTTTAAAAATATTGAATATAATGTTCTCTTTACGTGATACGGTGAGGGGAAAAACAAAGATTACAGCCGTCATGGAGATAAGTTGGTGTTTGCAATTATGAGAGTAAAACAGAGAAGTAACAGGACCATAAATATAATAGAAGTAATAAAAGTAAGACTTGAAGGTATATAAGGATGGATGGATGGAGGAAATTGTTTATTTATTAGATGAAAAAAGGTTAGTTAATTCTTTCTTGCCTGACACTATTTTCATCACATAAAATACGTGCCAAGTATGGTATCATAAAAATTTCTATACTTAGACGTGCGAGCATACAGTTTTCTGAGGTTACTTCTTGTTCTACCTGAGATGTAAGGTGAAAGCTGAGGGTAAAGTGGACGCTCCAAGTAAGACAAAATTCCTATAACAAATTTATTGCACGAAGTCAAGTGCTTATCGACAACGACGTTAACTATGTGGTCCACTGAGACACCACTCACTCTACTGACAGTCTTCAGCATTCTACGAGTATTGACATAGTCCTTTTGAAGCAAACCAGGAAAGAATAAGGGTAAACAATAAAGAAGAATATGTAGGATGAAAGCAAGAGTTTATGAACTGTAAGACGAGGAGGGGTTGAGTTATACCTGAGTGACTTAACTTCTTAGTGTAAAATGTCAGGCGGAATATTAGTGTTATTAACAACATTAATGTTTAAATAACATCGAATCAACAATAATAATAATAAATAGCGTCAACATAACAATACACAGAGTACCTGAAAAATAAGGCAAAATAATAATAATACAAATTCATGAATTTACAGTCTCTAATGAAGGCCAGCCAGAACAGTGGTAGTGGCTAATTGGAATTGGTTTTTCTGCACAAAGAGCACCAGTTGTGTGTGTTGTTTAGGCGAATTGCGATAGCCTCAGTTGTTTGGAGTATGCGGTACCTGAACACTTTTTTGTCAATTTATTTGGTACCCGATAGATGACGGAGAAGGATTCTTCAATGCTGGCTGGATTTTTGGTCGGTCACTTTGAACCAGGTGGTCTAATATCGAATTGGTGGTGGTTTTTACTACATCTTTACACGGCCACAACACACTGGTAGATGTTCCCGTGTGAGCAGGAAAAATCAAGTTCCTAGAGCAACGGCCAATATAACTCGCGCCACCACAGGCGCAGTTGAATTGGTGGATACGATTAGAAGTGGCTAGTTTTGTCTAGGTACTTCAGCTTTGAGTTGAGGAGTCACCATCGGTCGTATAGAAAATAAGACTTGTAGTTTTTGTCGGCATTCAAAGTTCTTTGAACTGATTCTCTTAACTTCTTCGTAATTATTTCACTAGATGTGTCACCTTTGAGTTGGAGTCCTATATATACAGGCTTCTTATTTACAGATGAAGAGAAGTCCTTTGGTTTAATTTAATGCCTAAAATTAATAATGCTAGTAGAATGTATGGTACTATTAAAATACATAAGCCAGGTTACCCCATACAACCATTAGTAGATTTCAGGAATGCCTCTACTTATGAATTATTAAAACACTTAGCTCTAATACTATGCCTCATTAGAAATCGCTCAAATTCTAGACTAGCTAATTCATTCGAGATGAAAAATAAACTAAATGACATTCAACTAGAGAATGATGAAACAATGGTTAGTTTTGATATAACTAGTCTTTACACTAATATACCAGTCATTATGGCCTTAGAAGCGGTTAGAAAAGAACTAACTGCGGATCCTGAACGCAATCATAGGACAAAGCTGCCCATTGAACAAATTATTTTAGGGATTCACTTATGCCTCACATCTACTATCTTTAAATTCCAAGGTAAAATATATAGGCACACAGAAGGCGTAGCAATGGGATCACTAATATCCCCTATCATAGCAGACATATTTATGGACAGCTGGGAAAATAGTGCCCTCAATACATTTAACCCTACTCCGAAAATATGGTGGAGATATGTGGATGACACTTTCACAGTGTTAAAAACAGAACACATCTCTAGCTTCTTGACACACACATATAAACTAACTAGTAGAGGGAATAAAATTCACATTGGAATCAGAAAATGAACTAGGAGAATTAGCTATGGTGTTAGATTGTAAAAGAAAACGAATACAAGAAGGCAAACTGCACATCAGAGTTTATAAAAAACCAGCGCACTCTGCTAATAGATATTTAGACTTTAATTCATTTCATCCGTTAACTGTAAAGGCAGGTTTAGTTAAGTGTTTAACAAACCGAACAATGGCACTAAGTAGCACAAGAAAAGACCTAAATGATGAATTAAAACAGATAGGAGAAGCGTTGGTGTTGAATAACTATCCTATAAAATTCATTAGGAAGATCATTGAAGGCCAAAAACAAAATAAAAAAATAATTGTGAAACTAGTAATAATAACATAAATAAGAGAGAATATAAGTCATCCACAGTTATACCATATAAAGAGGGGACATATGAGACACTACGTAGGATTCTAAATAAAGCAGGAATTAGGGTGGCATTTAAACCTACAAACTCACTCAGATAGGAAAAGCTCTGTAGGTTGAAGGACCCAGTTGACCCAATTGGTCAAAATAATATAATTTACAAAATACCCTGCAATGACTGTCGGTTAGGTCAACTACATAGGTCAAACCAGTAGGTCAAGGGTAGTCAGATTGTCAGAATATAAGAATTTAGTGGCTAAGGAAAGAATGGTTGATCCCACCGGTGAAGATAAGTAATTTAGAAAAAAGCTCAGCAATTGCAATGCAAGCATTAACACACAACCACACAATAGGATGGTGGGAAAGGGTTAAAATTCTAAAAAGTAATCTAGGTAGATGGAGAGAGAGGTTTGATTACTGAATCCTTGTTCATCGAGTCTACATCAAACACATGCAATAGGAATGACTCATCACTCATACCTGAAATATGGAAAATACTACTGCCAATCAAATCAAGTGAAAATCAAGGGAAAAATAATGGAACTATATAAATGAAGTTAGGAAGTCGTGTGAATACCTTGATATGATTATGAGCAATAAATTGTGCTCGAAACGTCATCAGCTAATATTACTGTATAATAACACATAGTGAGATTTTATCAAAACAAAATTTACGCATAATGGAGTCCTTTTCCGTTTTCTTAGTCATATGTTACCTGATGAATTTGTCAGGATAGCTATTTTCAATTAGGGTGTCATACAAAATCCTTAGTTCATCTGCAATTACCTCTTTTGAGCATATAGCTCTAAGCGTGTGACTGAGGGTCCTTAAATAATGAATGAATACGATATTTTCAAGTATGCCGATGATCTAACTATTTCAACGTCTGTTAACTCCCAGCTTGACTGTGCTAAGATGAACACCTTTCTATCAGGAGTTACCAAATGGTCTTCATCTGATGGTCTTAAACTAAATCCTTCCAAATTCCAGACTGTTAATTTCAGTTTCCGATGTAAACGAAGGTTAAATGAAGCTGTTAGTTCCTATGACCCTTGCAAAATTGATGATAGTGATATAGAAATCAAGTCTGAAGTTAAGTATCTTGGATTAATTCTTTCTTCTGTCTGTCTGTTTTCGACATAGAACTTTGCACAAATGTGCGGAAGTTCAAGTCGCCACACTCCGTGTAGCACGCGAAGCAAGAGAAGAAAGTACAAGAAAAGCATAATAGAAACAGTGAGCAGAGGTGTGAGACAAAGGAGTAATTAAGAAAAACAAAACAGTTTCATTGGAGATCAAAAGTCACAAGGAGTGGATGCATCTGCACCAGCCACTGAGAACGATTTTGAGCCATGTCACCAATTGTTTCCAACCATAGATTTTTACCGTCCCGAGGACCCCAGCCTGGAAGTCTACACCTTCCTACGTGGCTGGCTTAGACCAACTGTTGTGGATTTCATTGACTGGTGAAGCCAAGTTTTTGTTTGACCGCCGCTAGCTTTTTTCCAGCCTGACCCTATATCCGCTAACATAGCTCGTCGAGGGAGGCGATGGCTTGGCATGCATACGTAACACATGTCCTAACCATCTCAGTCTTTGTAGCTTCACGACTTCGTCGATTGATTTCCCCTGTTTACCTAGAACTCTACGCCTAACCTCAATGTTGCTCACCTTATTATGCCACTTTACACGGGAAATAGAGCGCAGGCACCTATGATCAAAGACAGCTAGTCTTTTCATGTCTTCCACTCTCAGTGGCTAGGTCTCACAACCATAAAGGAGGACGGAGCGGACTGATGAGCAGTACACCCGCCCTTTGGTCGATAGTCTAACATCTCGTCTACGCCAGAGTCGGCGTAAACTGGCAAATGCGAGACGAGCCCCCTGTATTCGTGCTGAGATTTCGTCAGACATCAACCCGTTGGGGCTGATGGTACTTCCCAAATAAGTGAAGCGGTCAATGTGCTGTACCACTTCACTTCTTATTTTTAAACTAGGCGTCGATGTAGTCCAGTCCTGTAACACCATCTTGCATTCGGCGGGAGCGAATCGCATGCCAAACATTCGTAGATTGCGGCTCAAGGTGTTTAGAAGACTCTGCATTTTGTCAGCGTCTTCGCCTAGGAGGACTATATCGTCTGCATATTCTAAGTCAACGAGATTATTCCTTGCTGGTAGCAAGTCAATCCCTGAGTCACTGAAGTCACTTAGGGTTAAGTCCATTAGTACATCTATGATGAAGTTGAATAGAAAAGGAGATAATGGGCATCCTTGACGGACACCACTGGTCGTCATCAGTTCAGATGACAGCTCGCCGTAAGCCCTCACCTGGCTGTATGAGTACGAGTAGAGTGCCTTAATCAGTGCAATATATTTTCTTGGAATTCCCTTTCTTTCTTCTGACCTATCCTGGTCTTCCCATGTCTTAGCGATTTCTAAAAGAATATTTTGTCTGACTTTTTACATTAAGAAGTTGAGGCACTCAGGCATAACCCAACCACTCCTCTTACAGTTTGTCAAATCGCGTATTTTACCTATTCTTCTTTTCTGTTCACCCTTATTCTTTCCTGGATTGCTTAAAAAGACTATGTCATACTTCCAAGGGCTCTGAAGACTGTCAGTAGGACGAGTGGTATCCCATTGGGCCATATCGTTGACATTGTCATGGATAGGCACTTGATGTCATGTAACAAATTTTCTAAAGGAATTTTGTCAGACTCTGAGCACCCACTCTACCCCCAGCTCCAACCTTGTGTCTCTTCAGTTAAAACAAGAAGCCTTTTTAGAAGAATTTACACACGTACGGCTAAGTATAAAAGTTCCACTATACCATATTTGGCACGTATTTTATGTGATTAAAATAGTGTTAGGCATGAACTAAATAACCTTCTTTGCACTACTAAATAAACCATTTCTTCCACGCTTACATTATCAAACTTTATTGCTATAGTATTTCTGATATTTATAATCCTCTCAACTTTTTCGTTTTTATCTATTTATTTTTCATAAGTGTGAACATCGTTTAAGCTGCGTTACCACTGTTAATCTTGTATTTCCCCTCACTATACTACATCAACAGAACTTAAGATTAAATACTCTATAGTAACATGCTAAAGTTTTCAAACTAAATCGACAATACTGTTTGAAACAAACTCACTGTTATTATTATTATTATCACAATTACTATTATTATTATTATTACCCTTATATTTAATGATCTCAATTCGTGCTTCGAATATTTTTGACTTTATATCATAAACGTGGACAAATTCCTCTGGTTGATTTTGTTTTAATTTTTTAATTTTATTTATATTTTAAGTGAATCAGATGCAATATTGTGACAAATGCTGAGAATTTCATTCTGTATTATAAGTTCCGTTTTTTGGAATAAGGTAAATTATTATTATTATTATTATTATTATTATTCGCTTCCAGAGGTTTGATTAATTTCAAGTTTGGTCACGAAATGACTTCATTTAGAAACTTTTCACCTGAAAGTCCTCCTGGGCTCGATCCCTAACCTTGGGATTATGGGTGCGTGCGGATGAAGAGTCCCAAACAGTGACGAAACAGCTGGTCCATTACTCTCTGCTGGTTTTCAGTAGTTCTCTAACTGTGTAGTCAGGTTCATGAACAATCCTTATGATCAATCAAAATGCCTGCAAGCTAATGCTTGGAAATGGGTCTAGTATTCACTTGTGACTTTCTACTACTACAACAGGATGAAGTTTTGGGAGGTCGTAACCAGAAAGTTCCCCCCCCCCCATCAAGCTGAATATGAGAATAAATATTCGCCAATGTCATTGGCTGGACGCCGGCGCTAGAATCAATGGGCTATTGCATTCTGTCCCAGCGATTGAACGGTCAACAAACTCACCACCTTGTGGTATGAAGATCCTGAGTCTGATCCCTGGTGATATAGTCAAGTATGGGTGGTGAGTCATTTGGTTCAAGGGTCGAGGATTCGACTCCAAGTCAATGCACTCTCACACCTATTCTAGCCGGTAGTAAGTCCGGAAAAGAAGACAGATTGGGCTAGGACGAGGTTGCTAGAAACGCTTAAAAGCACCACAAGCGCTACTGGAACTTTAAAGTTGAATCCCCGTGTTCTACTACTACTACTAGGAACGCAAAGGAATACAATTTCTGAGAAATGCACAACTGTCACCTATTAAGGTGAACACACATAAGCAATCACATACGTTTCATAATGCTTTAAAACACAAACTTAATACAATATGGCACCAATAACTGCACCATACGAGTTAACAAAATGATAATAATAATAATAATAATAATAATGATAATAATAATAATAATGAAGGAAGAAAAAAAGGAATAAAATATCCGAGGAGCAACAAGCACCCAAAGAAATATTCATCACTCCGTATTGCTTTCACGAACAGAAGAAAACAGGGAATTGCAAAGTGTGCCCCCATTGCTTTCAATTCTGAACGCCAAACGGGCGAAGAAGCTGTGTCCTGTGGTGTCTAGGTCTGGCTAACAAACACTACCGGTTGATGTGAGTAGTATTTGACTACTCATATCAATTAATCAGTAGTGTGTACCACCAGGCATTCATTCTTGCCTTCATGATTGTCATTCATGGTATCCAATTTGAAGTATGCGCTGAAGATGTTGTCTAATAGGGCAATGAAAGCTTCGCAGATCAGAGAACACAGCTCAGAGAACACAACCACGTCAAAATCATCCACCTGAGCTACAAATTTCTCTATCATGTGTAAATTGCAAATCGCGAATTCCATTCAATGTATTACCACTTCGGCTCTTTCATCTGGGTCAAACTTGATACGCCATCGATGACCTTTGCATCAAACAAGCGAATCGGTCGTCCGATGTTTACAGCACTTTGATCTGGTTGATACTGAGTGGTATCCATGTACTCATGACATTCAATTAACAGTATATACCGTTATGCATTCATGCTTCCCTTCTTGACTGCCAGCTATGGTAACAAGCAGATCAGATATTGTGATCTGAATAACTTAGGTCACGAGGTACGTCGAGATGTAAAATTCTCGAAGTCGACCTTTTCTAACCTTCCTCCTCAGAGCGGACGGATAACATTTCTGGTTGGCTGGTCTTCTGAAGGAAACACCTTACTGCTGTGTTAATCCCTATTCGCCAACAGTACGACTTCACCCACTGACCCCCAATATTATAATGATAGTCGCTTTTAGTCTGACCATCATCTGAACGACCTTACTTGCATGATAAGACCTGCAGAAACACCAGTTCTAGCCAGTGTACAAGCCAGACCACCATCAAGTTAAGTCAGAAATCAATAAACCACAATTATCATCAATAGTAGTATTACCTTTAAGTCCAGTATAATACTATGCGCTTGCCCTGGTGTACCAACATAACTATTCTGACGAAAACCGCCTAGACCACCTTGAGCTACGAGTAACTTTTGACCAGGTTTATCTAAATTTCCAATAATTCTTTGCTCTGTACCACTACCACCACTAGCTGATGAATTCCCTTGACCACCGAATAGGACTGTTATTCCAGCAGGAACTGGTATCGTCAAGTCTCTACCATCCTGTCCAATAACTACACCTCGACGTTTACTAGCCTCTAGACCATGTTCTGCCTTGTAAAAAAATAAATAAATACAAAGGTAGAAGACATTAAGTAAATATAAATGAGTTAACAATACAAAGATAAATTACCTTACAATTCGATTTAGAAAAAGAATATAGTTTTACTAATTCTAGGTTGGAAAGGTATAGTGTGTGCTCTGCCTGTAAGTAGATATGCGTAGTACATCGAAAAACCTCTTTGGGGAAGAAATGATAATCTGGTTACCGAATTTCATCGTGAGCCATTGGAAAACCACCGCCAGTGAGTACTCAATAGCTGTTTTGTCCTAGTTTGGGACTCTTCAGCAGTACGTACCCACATTGCGGGGTTCGAACCCAGGACCTTCTGGTTACAAAACTAGCGAGCTCGTAGACCATTAAGCCACTAGGACCCGATCCAATGTCTAGCCCATGAAACGAAACAGCTGCCTGTTCAGTACTCTCATGTGGTTTTCCAATGGCTCTTTAACCAATATCAGTTCATGATGAAATCCTGTAACCAATCAATCAAATCCCTACAAACCAATACTTAAACGATACTTTATATATATATGTGTGTGTGTGTGTGTGTCAGTGGAAGGGTCAATGAAGATAAGAACTCAAGAAGAAGATAATTACACTGTAAAGAATCCACTAAGAATCATACAAGAAAGACATTTTAATGATAATGACCAGTAGGGTGCAGCCGGTTGAAGGTGAGACAGTCAATCATCGAAGGAGACACTGCGAAGTGGTCGCGCTATGTCATGAATTGGCAGAAGCTAGAATTAGTGGGCTGGCCACTGGACCGGCTTCCGGTGGCTGAATGGTCTACGAGCTCGCTAGTTTTGTAACCAGAAGGTTCTGGGTTCGAACCTCGTAATGTGCGTGCGTACTGTGAAGAGTCCCAAACTAGACTGACAAAACAGCTGTCCAGTACTCCCAGTGGTTCTCTAACTGATGTCAGCTCATTAAGATGAAATCCTCCAACCAATGAAACAATAACCCCTACAAAAACCAATACTTGAAAAATTTGCATATTGTGAAAAACCTTCATTACTCTGAAATGAGTACAAAAACCTACTGCATACAGAATAAGGAACAGAATACCAATTTGTAGCACTAATGTGTCAAGTCAGTCAGTGATTCTGCATGATTCTGTATGAGTTGGCGAATGAATGAATCACCAAAAGCACCTTTCCAACAGGTTTAACTTCAGACATTCACCGACAGGTTGTTTACCGTGGATAGTGAAGATCAGATGGTCAGTTGGAAAGGATACGTAACAAGGAATTCTGGACTGGACATATGCTCAGGAGCCTGTCTGTCAGGTTTCAACATAGAACTTCGCACCGATGGGCAGCAGTTCGAGTTGTCACACTTCACCCAGCACAAAGTAAGAGGAAAAAGTAAAAAGAAATGCTAAATAGACACAGTAGACAGAAATATGAGGCAAAAGTAATATCGAAAAGCTATATAGTTTTATTGGGTATTATAAGTCACTGAGAACGATCGATTTGAGCCATATGACCAATTGTCTCCAGCCTTCATTGGTGTTTACCATCCCGAAGACCCCAACCAGGAAGTCTACATCTTGCTATGTGACAGGCTGGCTTGAACTAACTGTTGTGGATTTCATTGACTGATGAAGTTATGTTTTCATTTGGCCACCACTGTCTGGCTTTTCTCCAACCTAACCATATGTCAATCAGCTAACATTTCCCGTCAATCGAGGAAGGCAATGGCTAGGCGGGTATGCGTAACACATGCCCTAACCATCTCTCTCAATCGATGTAACTTCACAGATTTGTCTATTGATTTCCCCGCCCACCTACCTAGCACTCGACCGATGCCTTACCTTAATATTGCTTACCCTATTATACCAATTCACACAGGAGATAGAACACAGGAACCTATGATCTAAGACAGCTAGCCGGCCTTTTCATGTCTTCCACTCTCAATGACCAGGTCTCACAGCTATAAAGGAGGGCGGAGCGGACTGAGAGCAGTACACCCGCCCTTTGGTCGACAGCCAGCCGGATGTCACGTCTACTAAGCCAGAGACGGCGTAAACTGGAATATGCGAAACTAGCCTTCTGTATCCGTGCTGAGATTTCATCACCGATGAACCCGTTGGTACTGGCTGATGGTACTTCCCAAATAAGTGAAGCGGTCAACGTGCTCAACCGCTTCACTCCTGCCTATTTCTAAACTAGGAGTCGGTGTAGTCCAGTCCTGTAACATCATCTTACATTTGACAGCAGGAGCAAATCGCATGCCAAACATTTGTAAATTGCAGATCAAGGTGTTCAGAAGACCCTGCATTTTGTCAGCGTCCTCGCCTAGAAGGATTATATCGTCTGCATATTCCAAGTCAACGAGATTATTCCTTGCTGGTAGCAAGTCAATCCCTGAATCCCTGAAGTCACTTAGGGTTAAGTCCATTAGTAAATCTATGAGGAAATTGAATAGAAATGGGGATAATGGGCATCCCTGACGGACACCACTAGTCGTTACCACTTCAGATGACAACTAAAATCTGATTGTATTTGATCAATAACACTCATATTATTATTTCTGAATGTACAATATCCTATATTGATTTTCATTCCAATATCCTATCAATTCCACATATGTATATAAATGAAGGAAAAAAGTTGTGTGAGTAGCTTGATATGATTATGATTATTCGGCGCTCAATTATTTTGCAACTATCCGGTCAAATCTTTATCACAGCTGATATGAGCCATCAGTTAATATTACTGTATAACAATACTGTGTGATTTATCAAAATAAAATCTTTTCCATAGAGTTTAAAATACACTTTAAAAATTCATCAAATAGATATATATCTTTGGCATGAAGATGTGAAGTGAAGATATATTTTAGCATACTGCAAGTTCTACTGAACGCTAACAATAACTGGAGTTCGTTAGGTTAGGCTAAATCTCTCTTTATTTCTGAAGTTAGTACTTACCAAGAACAGATGACTTTTTGAACACTATCGATGTCATCAATATAATTCTCTGGTAGGCCCTGAAATTGAAATTAAATCGACTGAGATGGTTAAGACATGTGTTACATGTTACTCAGGCCCAGCGTAGTCATCGCCTTCCTCGACTGATAGGCAATGTTAGTTGGCATAGGATCAAGCTGTAAAAGAACCAGTAGTGGGCAAACCAAAGCATGACTTCCTCAGTCAATGAAATCCACAACAGTTAGTTTAAGCCAACCTGTCACGTAGGAAGGTGTAGGCTTCCTGATTGGGGTCCTCGGGACGGTAAAAACCAATGATTGGAAACAATTGGTGATATGGCTCAAACTCATCGTTCTCAATGACTTATGATTTCCAATGAAACTAAATTTTTCTTCGTTATTACTATTCCTTTGTCTCACACCCCTGTTTACTATCTCTAATATGCATTTCTTCTACTTTCTTCTCTTGTTTTGTGTTCTACATGGAGGGAGTGTGGCGACTTGAACTGCTGCACATCGGTGAAAAGTTCTGTGTCGAAAACAGACAGACAAACAGGCCCTGAAATCACACGTTAGAACGACTAATTCTGAGCTCTTTCTTCTAGCAGTAAACTAGATAACTTTTGGTAGAACTCACTCATCCTTTACTACATTCAAACTACAGTCTGTGGGCGGGGAGGGGCTAGCCTAAGTGGAGATTATTGAAAAAGACATCGACAAGTACCACAGTGTCTTTCTTCTTCCAAGGGATCTTTTTAGCTGGACAGCATACGACTACCCGACGAATTGCTGACATTATGAATTTTAGACATAAACACACACCCACAACATAAAAACCACATTTTTGAAGGATAACTTACTTTGAAACGTTTTGTTGGATTACTTTGTAGTAATTTATGCAGTGTTTGCTTTTCATCAACTTCTAAGTAGACACTGCCACCATTGCCTCCTTGACCTTTTACAGCTGGACTGCCTGCAGCTCCACTACCAGCTCTAACAAATATGCGTAATTTGTCAATAAAATTCTTAGACATTCGTAGATAAACCTTGTTATGAGATGATGCGTATATAACGGACTGTAGTATTATCAATGGTATTATTATTTCTAGAAATAATGAAGTAAAACAAAAGTTACATAGTGAAGTTAGACAATAAACAAAAATTTATTGAACAAAAGTGAAGACACTAAACTGAAAAATGCCCCATAAACAATCTGGCACGGCTAATGGTAGGTGGATGGGTAAACTGGTTATCCGCTCGCAATGCTCTCATTTAGCCACACACACACACACACGTGCATTCATAGCCTATGTTAAGTACCTCCTATTCACTGTCTCCAGGCGCTGTGGTGTTCCTCACATGAAAGTGGAATCGCAAATGTGGATGTCGGACGCTTACAAGCAAACTGGGGAACACGCAGGTAGATCTACCTAGGTGGCGGGGTGGGGGGTTTGGAAAACCCTGATTCTAAACCTATGGTTTAGATGGGTTCCAGAAGTCGGAAGAATGATAATCTCGTTGACTTAGAATATCCAGATGATATAGTCCTCCCTGCTAGGTGAAGACACTGACAAAATCCACCAGAGTCTTCTAAACACCTTGTGCTGCAATCTGAGAATGTTTGGCATGCGATTCGCTCCCCTTGTCAAATGTAAGATGATGCTGCAGAACTCGACTGGACTACATTGACTTACTCCTAGCTTATAAATAGGGATTGAAGTGGTAGAGCGTGTTGACCACTTCACTTATTTGAGAAGTTGCATCAGCCCCAACGGGCTCATCGGTGATGAAATCTCAGCACGGATACAGAAGGCTAGTTTCGTATATGCCAGTTTACGCCGACTCTGGCGTGGACGTGATATCCAGGCGGATGTCAACCATCCTCCTTTATAGCTGTGAGACCTGGTCATTGAGAGTGGAAGACATGAAAAGGCCAGCTGTCTTTGATCATAGGTGCCTGTGTTCTATCTCCTGTGTGAATTGGTATAATAGGGTTAGCAACATTGAAGTTAGGCATCAGTCGAGTTCTCAGTAAAGAAGGGGAATCAATAAACGAGGCTGTGAAGTTACATCGATTGAGAGAGATGGTTAGGACATGTGTTACGCATGCCTATCCTGGCCATCGCCTTCCTCGACTGACGGGAAATGTTAGCTGACATGGGGTCAGTTTGGAAAAGAACCATTGGTGGTCAAATGAAAACATGACTTCATCAGTCAATCAAATCCACAACAGCTAGTTTAAGCCAGCCTGTCACATAGGAAGGTGTAGACTGGTTGGGGTCCTTGGGACGGTAAAAACCAATGTCTGGTAACAACTGGCGACATGGCTCGAAATCGTTCTCGGTGATGGCTGGCCCAGATGCATCCACTTCTTGTGACTTCTGATTTCCAATGAAACTATACATACCTTTGTCTCATATCCCTGTCTACTGTCTCGATTTTGCGTTCATTTTTACTCTCTTCTTCTTCTCTTGCTTTGTGTGCTACATGCAGGGAGTGTGACAACTCGAACTGCTGCACATCGGTGCAAAGTTCTACGTTGAAACCATTCAGTCAGTCATTCAATATGATTAATATAATCATAGAAGAATATAACAATAAATCTTATGAAAGTACATCATTAACACATATTCTTTATGGAAAATTTCTTTCTACATCTGACATAATTTCTATAGAGTCTAGATAACTGAAACGATATACAATTGGTTAATTAGACTGTAGAAATTCATGTGCAGGATTTTAAAAAAAAACTTTCTCAAGGGGAGAAAAATGCCCACTGTTTGTTTATCACCATTATATCAATGTAATAGTATTAGAAATTACTTTATTTCAAACAACAAACAATTATACAGAATAGAATTTTTAGCGGTTTATACGTATGGCAAGAATTTAGCTCCTTTTATGAATATATATATATACATCTGTCTGTTTGTCTGCTTTCGACATAGAACTTTGCACAGATGTGCAGCAGTTTGAGTCGCTACACTCCCTTCATGTAGCACACAAAGCAAGAGAAGAAAGTAAAAAGAGACGCAAAATAGATATATGAGGCAAAAAGAATAGTAATATCGAAGAACAATATTGTTTTATTGGAAATTATAAGTCACAAGGAGTGGATGCATCCTCGCCAGCCATCACACAGAACGATGAGTTTGAGCCATATCACCAATTGTCTCCAGCCTTTGGTTTTTACCATTCCGAGGACCCCAACCAGTTAGGAAGTCTACATCTTCCTACGTGACTTAAGCTAAATGTTGTAGATTTCAGTAACTGATGAAGCTATGTTTTGGTTTGACCACCACTGGCTAGCTCTTTTCCAGCCTGACCCTATGTCAGCTAACATTTCCCGTCAGTCGAGAAAGGCGATGGCTAGAGGTGCATGCGTAACACATGCCCTATCCATCTCTCTCAATCGATGTAACTTCACAACCTCGTCTATTGATTTCCCCTCCCACCTACCTACCACTCGACGCCTAACCTTAGTATTGTTTACCCTATTATACCACCACCTGACACGGGAGATAGAACGCAGGCACCTATGATCAAATATACATAAAATTGTAAAAATAATATAAACCATAAAACTGAAAGTTAACGGAACATAATGAATTAAAAATGAATATTATAATAAATAATACGTGTAATAATCATAATATAATAATGTGCGTCGGTGGCACAGTGGTTAGAACTCTCGCCGACCATGCACATGGTCTGGGGTTCGATCCCCTGCCGACGCACACCTGATATATATGGTCAGCCTGCAAAATTTGGGCTACCGATATCCATGCTGAAAATTCCACACTTGTACCAAAAATACGGTGTGGAATCAAGCTGTAATCAAAAATTTAAAAAAAATAAAATAATAACCTTTGCTTATACCTTGCGTTTCAGTTACTGATTTAAAAAGTTTATTAAGTTCTTTTCTAACATCTGACTCTCTCCGCCTTTCACACACACACAAAACCACCCGTGCTAAATATGATGGTATGGTAGAATTTTTGTACATACAGTAGTTGTACGACCATAAATTCTTATGGAATTTCTTTCCTGACTTTACCCGAAGAGATACAAGGCAAACGTTGAGAATACAGATAACGTTCAGTACCAGACAAGATAACTTTGGCCAACTGCTTCCAAGAATTGAAGTGTCCATTGACAACAATGTCGGTTAGCTGAGTCAAAGTCACACCACTAACCCTACTTACAATCTTCAGTGTTTCACGTAATACGATATAATCTTTCTCAAGATGTCCAGGGAAGAATAAGGGAGAACAATACAGAACGTGTAGAATATATGAGGTAATAAATTGCAAGAGAAAAAGCTGAGAGACGAGGTTATGCTAGCAGAAAGTCTCAAAATTCCCTAGGTAATAAGTCGAACGAAACATGTTCATAGAAATTAACAATATATGAGACGATCAACAAATACAGAGATTGAAAGAGAAGCTGATAAGATGAGTGATGATATTCGATTTGTTTCTTACCATAGTGTCATCGAGATACTACAAGAATCATGGGAGTGAATCAGTCCATGTGAGTCTTGTTTGTTCACACCAGAAACTAAAACTAGCAGTTTGACATTTGGAGGGGTTTTGTTCAAGACCATATGAATAAGACCAATGCTTAACCGAACATAGAAAACTATTCATATCAGAGCGATCGAATGCAGAAACAACCGAAACAGAACAGCTAGTCAGACGAAATCCTTGTGCATCAAGGGAGCAAAAGCTTTTTCCGCATAAATATGATATGATGTATTTACTACGTCTCAGGTGTATTCTGAGCAAAAGAGGAGTGATGTTTAGACCACACACGAAAATTTTGATATGACTCATTTCAGCGAGTGACCGCGTTTTGCGTCTAGATTCCACACACATACACTCTAATTCCTCTGGGTTCAACATACACTTTGTAAAATCGCTAAAGAACTTGTTGTTTCGCACGTTAAAAGTGACAATTGGGCATGGTTTTCTGGGTGTTGGCAACTTTTTTTCACATTACTGCTAACTAAAACACAGAACAACTGTAAGTGCTCCTAATATTATGTAAAAAGAGGTATAACTAAACAAAAAATTAGACTTATTGTTGTCTGAGCCTCGACACTGGATCATGATAGGTTCCTCAGAGGACTTAAGGATATCATCAAATTGTCTGCTAAATGATAAAGAAAACTGAAGAATTTAGTCATCCTGACCTGATACGCTTTACCATTGTATATATCAACAGGTATTTTTACCAACAATTCTGCAACTTTTATTGCTCGTAAAATCTAATTAGTTGCTCAAGGTGGTTGCCATTGTTTAAATTCATTTATACAGACAATCAAGTAACAGGTTGAATCATGAGTATTCGGATAACTGTGGAGGTTATATGGTTTTCTACACGCTATACCAACGCCTATGTGTTTTAGCGACCACCTGATGGATAGAAGGGAGAAGGTAAGGGTAAGGTTAATGCTGCACTGTCAGGATGAAAAGCAGTACTGAGTGAAGTACCTCAAGGAACTGTACCTGGCCCAATGCTATTTCAGTTCCAGGTAAATGAACTGCCAAAAATTCTTACCTCATATTCTTTATTATTTGCGGACGATACTAAGGTATGGAAAATTGTAAGTAATAATGATGATAGGTTGGTACTGCGAAACGATCTAGATAAATTAGCTAAATGGGATAACCTCTGGAGTCTGGATATAAAACTCCAAGGAAAGCGCGGTAATTCACCTAGCTCAGAGGTCTTACACATCGTACTCCCTGGGGGACACAGAACTACCACATGCTAAGGGACAAAAAGATTTGGGAGTTACTGTAAGCCATGACTTAAGAACAATAAAAAAAGTTGTAATCAAGCTGCAGCCAAGGTTTGAAGGGCGTCCAAGCGACTAAACAAGTGTATGTTCCCAGTACTCTATTCAACATATATCAGGCCTCATCTAGAATACTGCATACAGATGGTGAGTTCATGTTTCAAAAAGGAGGAACAAAATCAGTTAATGGTATCTCAAACTTTCCTTATGATAAGAGGATGAAGTATTTAAATCTCTTCCCATTATCATACAGAAGGAGAAGAGGTGAATTAATATTGGCATACCGTGTGTTGATTTAAGCCCTAATCTAGATACAAGTCAACATGCTAAGCTATTCAAGAGTATAAGAACGCGAAGAATGGTGCGATGATGGCATATAACCGCGAGGGTAATAACGTAAATAAGGGTAGGGAAGGTGGACTTGTCGATGCCAGTTGGCTAAAGCGTCGACACTTCCAAGTGAAAACTACGACGGTATAAAGGACTACAGGTAACTTTTTTCCACATAACTGAGAAAAATGGAAGTTAAAAGACTATTGCTATGATTAAATCTGTCCTGATGGCATTTTAATCTATAAGCAAACTTCTGGAGTGCATTAATGCTCCCAATTACGAGCCCTGAACCTCATGGAGGGTTTATATACCTATAGGTAAACTATGCCAAAGCTTCCACTTGTAAAATGAGGTTCCTATAGATTAATAACTTCAACTGTATCCGTGTGGAAGTCATCAACTAAATTCTGAACAGCCTTCCAGGATTTGTGTGGTGTTATAACACCATAGAATTCACGATCAGTAAGCTCTTTCTCACCTTCAACTATTTTTACAGCTTATTTCGAGATCAACAGTAGGCTCCTCTGCTTAGACTGACATAGTTGATTTCCTCCCTGTACTCGTAAAAACCGACAGGCTAACAACGAAGCCTCTGACCTTGAACCACGATAACAATTTGGAAGACCGCTGAATTCACGTGTGACCTTGTTATCAAACTGTGCAAACCTGTAAATTCTTTCATGCCTACTGCATGACATAAGGAAGAGTTGCTAGGTGTTGATGGCTAATATCTTAGGTGTTAAAAAGTCTTGATATCAAAGGCAGATTACTAAACTGGCTTAGGGAATTCCTCATAGATAGGAGGCAAAGAGTTAGGATCGACTCGAAACTCCCCTCTTGGACAGCAGTGCGTAGCGGAGTTCCACAAGGCACGGTGCTTGTTCCTCTCCTACTTATTCTGTATATCAATGAGTTGTGTCTGCTCACTGACTCCAATGGTCCTATACGCAGATGACTTGAAAATTTGGAGAGCTGAAGGGAAACAGTGATACGTTCACGTTGTTAGAGGACCTCAACAAATTCTCAGAGTGGTTCATAGAATGGATTTTCCCGATCAATGTAGTAAAATATGCAACCATGCGCATTGGACAAGCAAGCATCAGGTCCTACGAACCAGAGGGAATAACACTTCCATCAGTTCAAACTTACTTGGATTTAGGTGTCATTATTAGCCACGATTTAAAAACTACAGCACATTGTTACGCGGTGGCTGCATGTAGTTTCAGGTCTTTATGGGCAATAATAAATATAAGTATACAGCTGCACATGCTAATAAGGAGTTCCAGGGACGGCAAACTGCAGTGAAAAGAAGTGGGAGAGCGCCCAGGTCCTTGCCCGCTTGTGAGCTATCCTCCTGGGATTTCCACGAGGGAGCCTATACTTTCTCAATGGCAAAACACCGTTTTCTGGGTGATTCTGATCATTTGTTATCTCGTAGGCAGTGATTAAATCCCCCCTAAGCCGATGGTAGCTAAAGGTGAAGAAGCCTAATTTCTTTAGCTTTTGATCATACGGTTTATTTCGAAGATAAACCACAACTTTTGTTGCTCGTCTCCGAACTCTTTCCAAGAGTTTGGCGTCTCTTCTAAGCAGTGAAGGTGCAATGATATTACTCACTTTAAGGTGTGGTCTGACCTATGTTTTGTACAACCTCGGAAAGAGCTCAGGGGTGAGTGCGCTTAACTGTCCATGTGTAGCGTGTGACCGCATATGCCCTCGCTACGTCCCCTGTAATTTACACTTGTGTCAATTTTTTCCACTAGAACTAGACCTAAATCACGCTCCGACGCTGTCCAGGACAATTTTTCGTTGCACAGGGTGTAACTTGCGTTCTGCGTCCTTCACTACCTGCACATTTTCAGGATGAAAGTCATACCTTCTCAAAGCCTAGGAAGACAACATGGACTGGAACATTCACTTCCCAGCATGATGTCGAATCGTCACAAGCTGATAGTAGGTTTGTTACACAATATCTACCTTTCCTGAAACCGTGTTGGGCTTCACGGAGACTTCACACTGTCCTTGGAGGACTTTCAGGAACTATGCGTTATAACCAACGCGAAAACTAGAACACAAATTTGTGACTCAAGAACCGTTTATTCTTGCACTAATACAGAGCCAACTGTTATGTTATTGCACACAAAGTCTAAAAATAAATGTCATAACAATAAATCACAATAATACCTCTGATAGTTTTTCTATTTCTTCCAACGAACAGCGAACGATGAAACGATGACTTCAGAATCGATGATTCCCGCGAAAATTATGGAGTCGGGTTTGAGCAAACAACCATCAGTTGATCGTTCGATCTTCAACTACATTGACACAAGTAATTACTCATCACGCAGATCCATACGAAGTGGAGTGATTCAGAGTAGTGTACTGGGTCCAGTGCCTTTGGTAATTTATATTAACGACATCTGCATTGTAATCAGGCATGGTATCCCATATCTCTTTGCTGACGACTTAAAGATTCTCAACAGCTTCCCCTATTCGACTCTGAACGAGGGATACACACATATTCAAGATGATCTGGATAGGTGGAAAATGAAGTTTAACGTTGAAATCATTTCACATGAACTTTCCGTCCACCTACACAACATTCACATTACTCGTCTGTCGCTTGCGAAAGATTTTGGTTTGAAATACACCCCAGAATTTAGTCTCACGGATTATGTTAAATTACAGGCAGCTAAAGTCAAAAGGCTCCTTGGGTATTTATTCCGAAAATTTATGATGTACCATACCAAAATTAAGCTGTACAAGTTCTGCATAAGGCCATTGCTTGAATTTTGTTCCCCTATCATGGACAGCGTCTTAATAAAAGATATGAAAACTAGAAAGTCTACAAAGGGCGTCTACTAAACGTCCAGTAGGTGAAAACCTTATCATTTCTTGCTGTGACAGAAATGACATTCGACTTGGAACCCTTAAGGGTCAGACGACTGAAGCCCAACCTAAAAATTACATCTAGGGTTGCAATCCCACCACAATGACTTTACTTCTAGTTCACCGAAGAAATATAACCTCAGAAATAAATCATCATCTTTTAAAATGCCCCGCTGTCATACGAACTACAGATCCGATTCCTTCACTGTGATATACTATTGTATTTGAAACCGTCTTCCTACTGAAATTAGAAACAGTTCTACCCCGAAAATCTCATCTCTGCTGGACAAATATTCTATTCACAACTAGTTGGGAGCAGTATTTGACGAACTAAAAGTTAGAGATCTTATACGGCACTCCCCTAACCCTCATTGCTAACTCCCAAAATCTGTGTGCTCTATGTTTAACTCCACTTTCATAATAATCGTTTTCACAACCCAAGTCACCTGTTCACATTCAGTTTTATATTTTAGTTATTTCTTTAATCAAATGTTTTTGCATATATCCCTGATAAAATTTGTATTATGAACATTTCATTAGGCAGAGTTCAGTCTCAAAGTTCTAGTAGTAAATCACCTGAAGACGACTGGTATTAAAATGTATCTGCGGACTGCCTAATGCTGTACGTAAATTCTATCTGCCTCTACGCAAATTCCAGCCTAAATAGTTATAGTCTAAATAATCCACCATACGCTGAGTCTTAAATAATAATGAATCTTATCTCACTGTTCTATAACTGCAATCCTATGTAGTCAAATTTTTAAGAACCATATAATTTAAGTTATAACTGCTTCCATATATGCTTATGTAACGCCACACCATTATGTGGTGTTTTTCATATTTTCATTTATTTACATTTAAAAGGAATACTATGACCGTCTAATTCCCCTACATTGTCACTATTTTTCTTCAAACTGCTGAAGTGGATGAGACACACATTATGGTATTCTGAAAGTAATACTTCTTTTGATTACAGCTTGATTCCACACCGTATTTTTTGCTAAGGGTAAGGAATTTTCAGCATCTGATATCGGTAGGGCCCATATTTTGCAGGCCAACCAATTGATATCAGGTGTACGTCGACGGAGGATCGAACTCTGGACTATGTGCATGATCGGCGAGAGTCCTAACCGCTGTGCTACCGACACACATTTTCATAAGCTATATAACCGTAATTAGATTTTGTAAAGGATTCATAAGACGACCAATCAAGTACTGGTATAATTTGTCCTCGAAAAATGTATTACATAACTTAAGGTGCAACCTAGAAGGGATGACTAATTGTAAGTTAGAAAAGAGGCAAAAGTAGGCATGGCGTAATAAGTGTGAGATAATGATTAATCATTAAGCTCTTTTGAAGTGAACAAGAACAAGTGGGAAGACGATACGCTGTTTTCATAAAAGCTGCATGGAAACGCAATGTTATTAATAAACAGTAATAGACTGATAATAAAATATAGATGATGGGAATAATAATGATAATAAAAGTATTAATAACAATAGTAAATAGCATAATAAAACGAAGTAAAATCATAGTGAGAACGTTACTATGGCCACGGTAACTTTTGTTTGTATGCTTATTTTTTAACTACTTAAAACCCTTGCATAATGCCGTATGTTATTTGGTTTCCATGTACACCCTGAGCACAACTTTTTCATCAAACTATTCACGTTAATACGTAACTCTTCTTTAACAATCATTTGTGACAACTCATCACTTTTGTTACTAACCTCTTATATCAACATCCAACTTCTCTGAACGCCTTATGCATCGCGTAACTCCACCAAAAACTCACTAATTGTATTTTCGTTTGACGAAATTTAATGTACGCACACACATACAAAACAACCATGCCTATAGTTGCGATTGTACTACTATGAAAATGAATTTGACGGCGAAAAGAGACTCTTTGCTTACCTACTGCTGGTCTTTTGTCTATTAATGTTTGAATGGGAATTTTTCATGAATCAAAAAAATATCAAACAAATCAACAGCATTAAGAGTATAAACAACGTAACTTAGTTGTTCATACTATGACGCACATCCTCTTATCCACTCACTACCAATTACCACTGAATTCGCTTGTCACTCATTCTGCCTCAGTACTAGTAGCGGTGACGTATGCGAGCCTCAGTCGTTTACACCTTTTCTCCCCGGCGTGTCGGACCGCGGCTAACAATTATCTCCGTGTGCATTTCATTCTCAGCAATAGCCTAGCCTCCCCGACGTATACGCCCCATCTGCTGTCCTTAACATCAATCAATTCATTCATGGATGTAGAAGACTCGAAACAACTTCAGAAGTAATCACGACGAAAATTTCAACAAAATTACGCAATAACAACAAGACACGAAAACAACAAGTAAACACAATGAATCCAAAAACACCAATTGATATGACACACCACACGTATATACAAATAGTACAAACAACCTCGCCGATCATGTCTTGATTGAATTCCTTTGAAGAATTTTATCTGGCGGTACGTTCGAAATTGGTGACATTTTTGCACGTGTTTGCTCTGAAATTTATTTACTGCTTATTGTCATATAATTCTTGAAATTATGGTCCAAATCTCTAAAAAACGTGTTCGTAGAAACACAATTGTTTTAGATAGTGGCTCAAATTCGGTTATAACTGCATTACCGCCTGGTAATACAGTATCAACTACTAGCTCTCAAAATGGTTTGAGTGCAGATCTCACTCCTGTGATACAGGTGAAAGATGTTCTGTTAGAGAACTCTGAGTTCTGTAAACTAAACCT